GTTATTAAAACTTTTTAAAAAATAAGTTTTTAAATAAAACACTTCCTATGTGTAAACAGTACACTGCATAAAACACAGCTAAAGAAATTTAAATGTATCCATCATTTAAAGTCCCAGACCTAGTTTAATCTACTGATATATTTCTCCTGTGGATTTATGAGCTGATCCTGCTTTCAAACAAGGAGGAAGAAATACGTATTTTTTAATATTTTAATTTGTAAACTTTTCAGAATTATTTTTTAAATTTTAGCCAACATCTTTCAAAAGCATATTCCAATGTAAGCTTGAAGAAAAAAATCTGCCTCTGTCAAAATAATTCGCAAACTTTATTGGATTTTTAAAAGCCTGATTACAGGACAAAACATGCATTACGCATTTTGCTAAAATTCCAAAAACAATTGCAGAATTTAATCATATTAAAAGGCTCATGTCCATAATAAATACCACCAGCTTAAAAGCAGCCTGGAATTTTTCAAGAGTTTTAGTATCTGAAAATTGCAAATGTTCTACATACTGCTCTTTTAGAAGTCTGACATCACTTTGCAATGGTTAAAGCAAGAAACAGGTCAGCTGAAGACTAAAGAAAATCCCTGTCTTCTGAGGAGATCTACACTTAGTTATACAATACTGCTCTGGAAACAGTCTGTCACCAAAGGCCTGGCAATTGGCTTCTGCTTAAAACATACTCTGCCTCTAACATTCTTCAAAGGATTAAACCATAATTGATTCTGGCAATACACAGGGTAAGCGTGATGTGCAGGGGGCTGCCAGTGGACATGGGGCTCTTACATAAAGGGCTGTTTTCTTTGTTTAAAATGGAAAAAAGAGTGGGAGGTGTGGAGAACAGTGAAATACAAAATGAGTCAGAATCAGAAACCATATTTTTTGAATCAGATTTCAACAACCACACATGCAAAAAGAAGGCTTCAAAGGTAGCAGAGCTTCTGAATTGCTCAGGCAATTCACATATTCTTAGTTCCATAAAAAAAAAGATAGAAGCTATAGTTATGTACATCCTTCTAAGCACTCCAAGAGTACTGCAAGCTGAACTCCAGAGAAGCCATTGGTATCAGTCTGAAAGTGATGGGGAACGGATTGATCGTGCACTGGCTGGACTGTTAGAGAAAACAAAGGGATCCTTTTCCTTTTCTTTAGTATCATGTTTATGTTTATGTTTATGCTTATGCTTGTGTTTCTTCTTCTTTTTCTTGTGCTCATGGTGGTGATGGTGATGGTGATCGCTGTGTTTTGAGGAGTTTGATTCTTTACTAAACACGGAGAGTGGAGCTGCTGAGACAGGGTGCATGTTTATCTCTCCTGAAGATTGTTCCTTACCTAAAAGAATGGATACATTGGGATTAGCAAATGTTTAACTTGCATTGTTTCCAAACATATGGAATTCTGAAATACTATATAAAACCTACATTATCATTTAAACATAAAAACATAGAATCTGTTATGATGCTTGTACCATTTAGCTTCAGAGAAGGCTCTGAACATGCCACTAAAGTTCCCACACTACTGACAATTTTTAGAGATGGTCCTCCCTTCCTCAACAGCATAAAAGTATCTCAGACAATTAGTAACTGTAAAGAGCCCAAAGACACCTCATACTAGCTTCCTGAAATTCATTTTTAAATAGAGTAGGAAGACCACTATACCCTGAATAATGCAAATATAACTGCTTGTGAAAACTCTGATATAAAGTGTAAAAACGGCACAATAAAGTGAATTTTTGGGATGTGAACTGTTTTTAGTCAGGAGGTAAAGCTCCCCTCAACAACATACAAACATTCCGATAGTGGAAAATTAAACTGATTTTTCTAGAAATTGCCTCTTGCAACCAATTTAGCCTGTTTGAAAGATTATACAATGCTTTTTTCCTGAACAAAACCAATTCCCAATAAAGACAACTATACCATCTTTATCAGTATATTTCACAAGTACACTAGAACTAGTTATATATTGAGCAAGCCTGGTATCTGAACCTGAGGAAGGAAATATGATCCATGACATCTCAATGCAGGAATGACTTTCTCATTCTCTCTTTGGCTCATTTGATATTTCATGATTTCAGACAGACTGCAATAGCTTCAATAGTAGAGATTAAAGGGCATTATTCAAAGGACACCTTTGTTAAAGAGTGGAAATGTTTGGAAGGTAGGAATACTCAGACTCCTTTATGCAGAAATTGAATCAGATCACTCACACTGCAAGAATGCTTTAACAACTAGATAAACATAGAAAAGCATCAGCAGATTTTTAAAGGCAACGAATCCTCCAAGTATTACTTAAAATGGATTTTCTTCATTGCTACTTTAAATATAGGGGTTTTTCCCAACCAGTATTTGGTAAAAATATCCCAATTAAATAACAAGAAATGATATTATTTGATGTTACTATGCAATTATCTTTTCCTGTATATTTGAAAACCCATTTATTTTCCAGTACATCTTTTTGTTTAGCTGGTCGGCTGTATAACTCTAAAGGCAAGAATGATTTGTCTATGGTAATGATTCCTGGAAGTCTAAAGAGACAGCTCCCTGTACTATGACAAACAAGTATTGAAAACAATTTCCATGCAATCTTTCTAGCCTCACCCAAAAGACTGAGGACTGATTCAATTATGCATATATATAGGAAAATTTCTAGATGGTACAGCTGTTCTGGGTTTTGTTTGTTTATAAATATGTCTGGAAAAAACCAAAATCTATATCTATATTAAGTGTTTAGAAGACAGAATAGAAACACAAAACATTTTTATAGGGAGGATAATCAATAACTTACTACAGGACATGGTGGAATTTCTACTGATTGGAGTCCTAAGCAGCAAAATGATGTCTTTCTAGAAATGTTTGGTCTTAACCACAAGACAGGAATATGGTGCAATATAAAATTCTGTTGAGGTTATGAAGGAGGCTAGTCTGAAGTACAATAGTTTCTTATAAACGCAGAATCTCTAATATAAAAGTATTTTTAAAAGCTTTAATTTTTATTTAATCAGAACTAAGCACCAATAAGCTCATGTTATCAATGCAAAAATTGTTAGAATGCACAACTTTACTTTTTTATGTATCTTATGGCAGGTAAAGGAGATGCACACCAACTCCAATTTCCACTGGCTGACATCAATGCCTACCTACTACCATTTTTTTACATTGTTGTTTGGAGCCATTCTCAACAATTAAGACAGTGTGCAAGTATATTGCATTTGATGCAGAAAGGTACAAGACTGCTTTACTATGTAACTATTTCCAATAATATTTTTACAGAATTGTATCTAGACCTATCCTCATAACCTGAGCTCCTTCCTCTAAAGCATTCAGTGTTTAGATAACTTTATTTAGCAGCTGCAAAGATTCAAAACCAGCCACTAAACAGACAACACAATGGTGAAAAAGGAGTGTATCTGGCTCAGGCCATTAGAAAAGCAAAGGGTGGAGGCTGTAGCTCAGAAAATCAAAGCAGGCAATATTTGATACTGTTAAAACAGGCTGCAGTAGTTACAGGTGAACTGTGGCAGTGACACAAACAGAGCTCCCAGAAACAGAAATAAAGGTCTTGGCAAAAAGCCTGAAGACCACTGGTTGGCTGTATAGAAAATGTAAAAAGATTACCTGAAGTACAGAAGATATTCTCCTGTGTTCTCAAGCTACAGGTACATGATACATTAAAATACACACGGCAAACTCAAGTCAACTTCAAATAGAAGAGAAAACCCACACAACATGACACAAACTCTTAAAACTCCTCAGCTCCATTAATTCCAAACCGTGGAGTTACTTTTATTTGAAAACTAAATCTGTAAGTCTCGACACTACATTTGTACCAACCTCAAGCCAAAGTAAGCCTCTGAACTTAAAAAAAATTTAACCAGAACTGGTATAAAACCACTGGTTAAAGTCTGCAGGGATGATGTAGCAGTAATGTCCAGTGAAGATGGAGGATGCAACCAACCAGACTCTCCTGACTATGTTACATGACCTGCCACTTTCCTGCAGTTTACAGAACTACCAGCTCTGCTAAGGCAAGTCTGTATTATCACCTCATTACTTATTTCAGGTGTGTTATTAAAAAAAAAATCTGTTTGTTAAAGCAGTTAAACACCACTGACTGGAGTATGTTAAGGAACAAACAGTAATTGAAGCCAACAGGACCAAAGGGGTGGTGGTGACCACCTAGAAAGGCGAGAAGATCTTCAAGAAAGGGAGAAATGGGACCAACTGCAACTCAAGGGCTACTGACAGTCAACATTGGTGGTAATATGGAAAAGATGTCAGTAAGAAATGAAAGAATGTCATTACAAAAAATCTGCTTCTACTGAGCCAGCAATAGGAGTACAAACACAATTTCTTCATAGAGGTCAATAGTGACTCTAGTCACTTGGGTTTTTAAATGCAAAAATAACAGCTATCCAGAAAATTTCCTTCTACTGTTAAACAATGCTTTGAAATCAAGAATCAAATATATTGATCCTGGATGATGGCTCCAAAAGATTGATCACAAACTCAGTTATGTGCCAAGATGGACAGACCAATAAAAGCTCTATCAAAAATGTTACAGACCTCCATGCATAAAATTCAGTGTTGAACCTACAGAACCTTTTTTTTTTCTTCCTTTTAATTAGTATCTACTTAAAGCCTATGCCAGGAACATGACAAGTGTAGTTAAGGAAAGCAAGGCTAAACAGAAATTGCCTCACAGGGCAGTATAATCATCCTTTTATCAACAGGGATAGCGACTGATGCAAAGAGGCACAGAGCACTCCCTCTTCCTGCAGGGAACCCACATCTTCCTGGCACAGAGAGAAGGACTGAAACCCAGGTTTCACAAAACACAGAAACACACAATAAGTGGAGGGTGGGCCCAGAAGCTCACTTCTGAAGTGGTTAGTAGCATTCCTTGGAAAAAAATGTGCATACATGTGTCTATCCACATAGGTCTCCTCCTGTTTAGGATGTGGAGATTCTAGTGTAATTGTTGGCTTTGTGGTGTTCCAGCTAGCTGGGTAGGTGTTTAAAATTAGACAGGATTATGATCCCATGTGTACTGTTTGCCCCAGGGACAAATACAAATGTTGTAGATGTCGTGAGAGAGAATAAAATATGAAAACATACATCTTGTAGCTTAGTTTTAAAATTAAAGGGATTTGGATTCTGATAAGCTTTAAAGTAACATTTTCTGTCATAATACAAATTGCTGTCAGATAATTCTAACACCCTGTTCACTTAAGTTTTAGTACTCATTGGCGCATTAAGATTGAACTATATTGTTGGGTAGAGTGTTTCACCTGTTTTTCTCTTCTTTTGTTTTTGAACTTTTACAGTTTGAAAACCTGTAACTTGAGACTTTAACAAGCTGACAGGCTTTCATGAGACCTTTCATATGGTCCCTCCTAAGGTTCTGATTTTGTGTGAAGAGAGTGGGATGCCACAAACTTACAGCCTCTGTTTCTTGGCACGGCCAATGGATGTAAAACATCTGGCTGATACAGGCTTCTTACAAATTGACACTTTTTTGAAATTTCCCCATTTGCACTACAATTTACTGAAACATCAGAGAGGGAGAAAATCAAGCTCACAAATCAAAGCAAAGGCTGAAGCCCACGGGTCCTGAGGACAGGCTGGTGCTGCAGCACCTGACATGGACAGGCTCTGGAAGAGGGAGACATCGATAAAAGCACACAGGGACTTTATGTGTCTCTCCCAGAACCTAAAGAAAGCTTACCCATGAGAAAGGCAATGCACTCTCTTTGCCTAGCAGTTGAACTGTATCTCTGGCTAGCATTTTCTCTAAAGAGAAAACATTCAAAAAAAGGAAAATACCATAAAAACAGTTTCAAAATTATCCCATTTTTCCTTGTTTCTTCTTTTCTTTTTAGCATTACTCTGGAAACATCCAAGACACACTATTTTTTAATTTAATGCTGTGTTTGTGCATCTGTGGAACCACCAACAAAGTACATAGAAAAAATTACCAAGCATAAACGATTTCAAGTTTCCAGAATGCAATGTCCTGTAATTAGTCTAAAGAACCAGAATTTTCAAATTATATATCTCTGGAAAAGGTTATCAATTTTCTCTCTAAGAGAGTGCTCTTTTAAGGTCCGTGGGACAAAAGTTAAAGTTTGAGGGTGAAAAGCAAAGGTCTAGTTAAATAAAATAAAACCAGCCGAAGGTTTTCTGAAGATATGCTAAGCAGATCAGTTAATTTGGCACCAACATAAACATTTTAACTAGTTCCAATTTACAGATTCATTTGACTTCAATTTTTTAGTGGCATTTAAAACCAGATAGATAATTCCTTATACCGACACCAAAGATAAAACGAAAGTATTGTATAGACAAGTTGGTGTTTTAATTAAAATACAGTTTTAACTGGTCAAAGATTTGATTTACTCATCTGACTTTCATTTAACAACTATATTGCCTTACACTTACATAAAATAATAGCTTAACTGTGGTGTTATTTTTACTACATTTATTTTAATATTCTAGAACATTCTAGTGAAATCCCTGTTTTTGAAAGAAAGAACATCTGAATCAGGAAGCCAATTCAGAATAATTTGTGCCTCTACTAGTTTCAGGTAGTTCACTTGAAAACTTGCTAGCCTTATTCATTCTTTAGATTTGAGAGTGATTAGTTGTTTTCTCAGAGACAGTCACAGCTACAGCATTATGTTGATTTTATTAAATCAGTCACACACTGATGCAATTCTCATTTCTGTTGTCACTATCTACAGGGCTTGTGTTTCTATTAAAGCTGCTTTCTTTATAGAGTAAAGCACTGGAAAACACCATTCCTTGTGAAGTGTACTATTAACCAATTTCAGTGAGGCAAATTTATCTACAAACCTCAAAGCCAGCTACCACTTTGGAAGCAGTTAAATCTTGAGTAATAAAGTGTAACAGATACTGTACTAATAATATATGTTATTAAAAGGCATTCTGACAGAACAGTTGTAACAACTTTTACTTCCTTAGAAAGTAAAACAAAAGGTTATCATTGTCAGTGGGGTCCTCAAATCCAAGAAGTGTTCATTTATTTATCTGTCTGTGTGCTGATGTTTCCATAGCACTTTTTGGCAGAGAGCCACTAATGGCTGGACTCTGAGGTACTGGTGCACTTACAGCTAACTTGGGTAACTGCAGAAGACTGGGCTTCTCACACAGCTTGGACTGAATTCCTCTTTACTCCTACATCCAAACTCCAGGGGCAGTGATTTGTACCTCAGGCTTGGATCTGCTGCTGTAAATGTACTGTTTAAACATAATAACTACAGTAGTTTACCTCCAGACTTTACTGCAGCATATGCAGTAAGACCTGTTTCAAACTGGTCAGAAAAAAAGTCAATGCAGATAAACCATAATTTCCTGAAAGTGCAGTAACTGAGATAAACAAGACCACAATCCAATCAATATTATGACTGTGGTCTAGGCCTCCAAACTTTCATGTACATCTACACTAAACAGAGCAACCACAAAGTCAGCAGCGGCAATTTCCAATTTGACTATCCTGGAAAAATGTGAAAGGATTAACAGAATGGCCAAGGAATCTGTTTCATCTGAGTATGAATGCTCAGGATGTCCTCAAAGCCCACTGCCTCTGAATGCCACCAGAAAAAGAACTGCCAGTGCCCAAAGAGACCATCACTTTAGTTTATTTTTCCTTCTTTTGCAGAAATAAAGAGAGAATTGGATACTGCTTTTTATCAACTTTCAAACCATAAAACTAGTTGGAAAAAGTTCAATTAAGTGTTTATCAGTGATGAGCCATAATGACATGCAACCTCACTGGCAGTTCATGCAGCCTACAGCCAAGCATTTATTTTGGAAGCAGAAAAAACCAGGCCAATCAATAGCCACTGACAGTTGCAGTGGAACCTTTTAAAGGTTACTTCTGACATACTGTACTTTCAGACGAGTGAAATATTGTAGAAGGGTACCTTTATCTGATTTCACTGAAGTCAACAAAGCAAGACAAGTCACCTTACAGCCTGAGAGATCAAATCTGTTGCTTACACAAAATCTCATTTTGAAAATCTTTTATCTTATGATTTAAGTGAAGGGAGAGTTCCTAATATTCTTGATTATGAGCAAATAAAATCTGCTCTCACATAAGAAATGTAACCTTGGACAGCCTTGGAGGTTCAAAGGAGGCTACCAAGTTTCTAGACCTAAGGGCAGATTAGTAATCCCCACAACAGCATTATTTAGACAGTTCACAACTAATGTTTTGCTTGTTTTAATTTCTTGATGATTAGATTCCATTACAACTGCCAGAGTCCACAGTTCTACTATCATAGTCAGGATGCTTTAACAGGATTTAAACCATTTATTTTCTATATGAACTAGGACAGGTGCTGTACTTGTAACACTGAAGCTTGTAATCCAGCAAGAGTTGTACTAGAAAACTTTTTTTATTGTCTCACCCGTAACATTTCATATCCACGGGCAGAACAATACAAAAGCACTTCCCCCCCGGCCCCCCTTCCACTTTTAAAGGAAAATAATATTTTCCTGGTGTTAGGGAGGGTTACATCAACTTGACCAAACCCAAATCATCATTTGGGGTGGTCTGGGAAATGGAAAAAAAACCCAACACAACAATCCAGCAAAAAACCACAGATATGACAAGACCCAGTGTGAACTTCCTCCTGGCAGCTGCTTTTCACATGCTGTGTTGGGCTGATGACCTAACACTTAATGTGACATGTGGGGACATAGCCCACAGCTGGGGGAGGAAAACTGCCGGTAGACTAAGAGCTCCCTCCTTCCAAGCAGGAGTCAGAACTGAGGCAGATTTACTAACCAGACACTGAGACCATTTCAGAACCTGTTGTCAGCCTATTTCACAGTAACCACTCCCTGAAATGAACCCATCCTCCGTCACTGCTGTCACACCTCACAGGCCCTGTGATTCCTTTGTAAAACAGAACACTCTTATGTGTGAACAAGTTTATTTAGGTATGCTTTTATTTTTCCCTATCTGCTTCTTCTCAGCACTACACAATTTCCTAAAGAGAGAACTATCTTTATTTACTGAGTCTGTAATTCATTCATCTCAGCTTCTAAGATAAATGCCATGATTAAGAAAAAGTTGAAATTTTGGAAGCAAAGAATATGTGAAGTTGACTGTTTCTAACCACACAAACAACAACAACAAAAAAGAATAAAATAATCTGAAGTGTTTCAAAATAATGCTTTTCAAAGGCTTACTATTTAAAAATAATTCTGTGGAAAAACCTGGCATTTGCCTCATTTATTAGCTAGGAAAGAAGATGTATTACAGTGTGCTGAGTGTCTAAACAACAGAGGTGAGAAGGTCATTTAGGACACAAGCGAGACTTGAAGTAGCTTGTGTGTGCTGTGGGTCTATAAAAGCACCAGTCAAGTGGCCACTGCTCCACTCCTGGTCAGACTTTACCCTTTGTGACCTCCAGTGCAAAATTAATCCACAACAGTCCCGGAGCACAGAGCTGGCGCACAGAGGGTCCCCTAAGTGCTATTTGTGATGTATTTGGCAGAGTTTTGTTTATGACTTTATACTCCATAGAGTGTGCAAATCTAGTGAAAAAATTGCTGCAAAATATCATGTAAGAGTTATAAATACTCATCCTCAGCAGATCAGCTTTGCATTTTGCATGCCCTGGATGTGTCATTCTTTGCCATAGCAGAAAATGTGATGGTTGACCGTAACATCAAGAACAAAATTCAAAGCAGCTCTGAGAAGTTTAAACTAAAGATATAGGCTCCTAAGCTCATGAGAGTAACCTATGTGCAGCCTGCTCTATTACCCTGTTGAAGTAAGTCAAAAAGCTGTGGGTTTTGCTACTCTAGATACCCAACAGCAAAGCTGTGCTGGTGGAGTTGGCTGTAGGCACGTCATTAACTGAAGGCCATCTGGAATCCAGAAACTAGACCTCCCTGTGTTTTAATGTCCCCATATTTACTTAATTTCTTAGCTGAGAAGTGACAGCAGTTACCTTTTATAAAAACAAAACAAAACAAAACAAAACCACAAAAATCAAAAGAAAGAAATAAACTCCGTTGGTGACTAGAGCATCTGCCAAGGAAAGAAAAATGTTATGTCCAAGGCTCATAATAGAGTATGAGCCTCCAGCTTTTGAACCACTGGTACCAAGGCACCAGCCTCAGCAGGATTCTCAAGGCAGCAGCATCCCCCAGCCCTTCTCTTAAATGGGGCCACTAAACTGCCTGGTCACAGAGAAAGCAGGTAAGGTCACCTGCCAGCATAGCTCAGGACCTAGGGCAACTCAAGATGGAGATCCTGCTGCTAAGGTCTATTTCTTTTTACACTAGGCAGTCACTGGATAAAAACAAGCAAGAGGGTAATTACTCTGAATTCTAAAGCCAAAAAACTTCACTTTTACACAATATAGTACTGCAACCTTATAATCTGTTCTGAATCTGAATGGAAGATCCCTCAAAATGCTCGGTACATTGTCACATGACCTCAGCTTCGTTCCACTGGCACATTCTGGAACTGAACTTTAGGAACATTGTTAAAACTTTTTGAGACTAACAACTGAAGTTCTTTGCTAGTGACAGAGAAACAGAAGGCAGAAGTTCAACAATAAAGGTCAACCTGTTTTAAGGTTTCTAAGAAACACTACGCCTAGAGAATAATTTTGTTAAGTATTGTATAAAAAAAGATACTAAGAGAAGTAGTAAAAGAAAGGCAGTGCTTGAAGTGAAACAATTTAACTCACAGATGCAATCTTTTCGACTTTGGAAGGCCCTTCTAAATACCTTTGAGGCTTTTATGTCTTTTAACTGCTAATGTTGTTATAAATCATTAATATTTGAGTGTGTTTCTTTACCTGAGCAGTCTTGCTATTTGTTTTTAACCTTCAAAATTATTATTTTCTAAATGACACCTATGGCAAAACAAGTTTTACCTAACTGCTTATGGGATTCTACTTAAATTTTGTGCTCTTTTATTCATTCCTTAGCTTTTCACTTTCATAAGCACGATTTATATTTGTCTTACTTAGATATGTGTGAAAATATACATGAATACACTTATCTATGCATCTACTGAAACCTAAAGAAATGTTCTTTTGTCCCCTTTACGCAGTTCCTGGAATTCCAGTAACATTTAACACTTACCAACACTGTATGTATGAAAACAAGCAACAGCAAGAAACACCTCACAACTGAAGTAGTTAAAAAAAATACAAACACCTTGCCTAAAAAGTTCATTGTACCTGGTGTGGATGGCCTCTCCAGCATATTCAAATGATGGTAAATGAAGGCTTGGCTGTCATGAACTGTGTCCATATCAATTTCCTCCTCCTCTTGAGAGTTTGAGAACTAAGATATCAGGAAAAAAAATAAGCAGATGCTAATAATTCATAAAAAACATTACTGAACAGAATTTTAAATATTTTATTTTTGAGGTAAACTGGGGGTGAGAGGGAAAGGAAGTGATATCTACCACTGCAAAGGAATAAAAGCTCAATAAATTAAAAAGGATCAGTGTCTTTCCTTCTTTCTAATTTACTGTGAAGCTGTGCGAACAAGAGCATTATCTGTCAACTTTAGTTCTTGCTAGCCAATAAAGAATCTGATAGGAAATGATTTTGCCAAAGTAAGCATAACAACTGCTGTCCATATATACACAGCATGCCTTTTGTTTGAACACAGCTTCAAGGGAAGCCAGCAGACGCCACTGCTGTTATTCTGAACACCCTACACATTGTGCAAGTTGAATTTCCATTTCTTACTCTGATTTTGAGTTTGACTTTACTGTCTTCATTCTTCTCTAGTATTTGCCCTGGCTCCAATGGAGACCCGAGTGGCATATCAGCCTTCCTCTTCACCCCCTGCTGATGACCAGAAATGCTGGATGCTGTTTCCTTAATAAGATGATCATCCTCCTGAAGCAGCATTAAAAGACCAAAATTAGAAGATAGCAAGATCCATGTTTCAGAGAAAGCGACCTGATACCTGAAAAATCTTCTGAGTAAAGTGGGTGATTTGAACAAAGTTTTCTCTGTAGTTCTGGCAAGAAGTATTTTCTAAAACCCTGTATGGATTTGTGCCAACCACTCCTACAAACATAGTTTCTCTTTACTTCTATCCCTGCTCCCTCTGCATATCTAGCATTGGCATCTTTTCTGTTGCTTCTCACAATCATGGTACTGTTGGTGTGCAACAACATTTGCTGCCTCTGAATAACCTGTCTATAAATCTGTGCCTTGCAGACTCTCCCCAGGACAAATCTCAGTTGAGAAACTATGATAGCCTCTGATCTACACATGGGATTTAGCTAAATCTTCTTTTACTTTGTTTTAAAAGCTAATGCTTACTTTATTTAGTATAAATCATAATGAGTACCTATAATTTCTTTATTTTACAATATTTATTACAAAGAATAAAACTGTTTTGTAAATTACTGCTTAGATTGTAAAAAGAACACGCTCTAAGAAACAGAAAAATAGGAGTCTCCTAAGTTACACATATAGTAATGAAAACAGGAGACAGGTGTTTCAACAAGTCCAATAGACAAAATTTAGAAGGGAAAAATAAAGTCTCCATAGAAGCAAACATAATTAAAAGCTCACTAGAAACTATAAAAGGCATATATACCATAGCCTCTCAATGGCATATACTGCTCACCTGAACTGTTCTTCTTCTATCCTACAAAGGGCACTCTAGCCCCACAAACTCTTGCCCTGAACAATTCAAGTTCTGTTTTATGAAGTGGGTAACTTTTACCACCCTCATCAGCTTCAGTGGCACTACTCTATCAGTGCTGATTTTAACATGTCTATGCTCTCAGTGTATGTCTACTTTAAAGAATCTAGTTAATCTGATAAATTCTATCACCCATTTATTCTTTTTTCCCTACAAATATGCATTTCCCTTTTTTCATCCCTATTATTTTGTCACAGGTACTGCTATTGTGAAACACTTCTGGATTAACTTTGTCTGATATAAGACGCAGTCTTTATTTTATGCTGCTGGAAAAATCAGTTCCCTGAATTTTGGGGGAGTTACAGTGAAAATGGTAACCTTAAGGTAAGGAGTAGGAGAATGAAGATGAAAAATAGGAGAAGATACAAGAGATAAAGATAAAATTGATGCTTACACCAGTGCTGTACTTCCACACCAGTACAAGCCAGTACACTGCTAAATGTAGCAGCCTCATCCACATAAGGTTCTGTCCTGGGGTGCCACAAGCATTTTTACAAGTAAGTGACAAACTGGCTCAGGAAACTGAAATATCTGTTCATAAAAAGGTGCTGTTCAACCAGATTCTCCTTGATCCAGCTCACTATTGTAGCAACAACTATGCTAGCACAAGGGAGAGGAAAGTTTAGGAAAAGAAGAGTTAAGTGGAAATTTTTTGATAGTCTGGCTGCAAAAAAAGTTTGGGTGCTCATTGAGCTGCAGCCTAAAAATCTGCCAACAAAATGCCTCCTGCTATTTAATTCTAATGATTAGGTGCGGCAAATTAGGACTTACTACATGCTCTGCAAATATGCAGGACAGGTCTAACAATATCTGACTCTAACAATATTTTCTCCCTCTGCTGGAAAGGGCCTGCAGGGTACTGTTAATTAGTACTCTCAACATACTTTTCAATGAAAACTACTTAGACATTAACTATGGCACTGATAAAGTAACAGTAAACAATCCCACTCAAAAGGGTGGAAAGAGTTTAAAAAATGCTAATCGCATGCTGGTTTTGAAACTGTTAAGAAAAATCACTTAATATTTCCACGTTGGTTGATTTTTTTCCCCCCTCATAATTAAATTTGTCCAACAAAAATACTTAGTCTTAAAGCAGTGCCAGTTATTCTTGAGGAAAGTATGACCTTAATAGCTTATAAAAATTTATTTTCTATCTATGCAATGGAATATGTGTTAGGACTGAAGCCTCTGAATCCAGAAAGATACCAAACTGAATGTATGCCATTCTTGAGAAATTGTTACAAATCCTTCAGAGCACAGTACTAAAATATCAAATGTTCAATGCAGATGTGTTAAAATTTCAACCTTCACATCACTTAAAGTTGTTTAAAATGAGGTGTATCTATGTATTTTAAGTTGCAATAGATTTACTGATAAAAGGTTTTGTTTTGGAAAATTGGATAACTTGCCTATAAGTAACAGTCTCATGAAAAAAGCTTTCATCACAGCATCAAACATTTCTGTGAATCACTTCATATCTCATAAACAATATATAAAGTTTCATAAAGAACAGAAATGATGAGACTAGGAAAAAAAAAACAAGTATAAAGCTTGCATATGCGATGCAAAACAGTTAAAAAATGTCCAAAAAGTAATGGTATATGCCAGCTTTTCAAGTGGACAGAATCAAGAGCAATGAGGAAAGAAGGTAGCTTAGGTAAAGCATGAGAGGCTTGAACACAGCACAAAATCATATCAGCAACCCATGCAAGAACTCAGAGGCAGCTGAATAGGATGGATGCAGATGGTTTGTGCTTACGGTGTTCTGAAATCCTACTGACTGTCCATGATTGTTAGTACTGTTCACAGGCTCCTGATTATTTGCAACTGATTCAGGGATAATTGTTGGATTAAGTACAGCCTTCTTTTCTTTCAGGTTAAGAACAAGTCCAAGCTCTGGTAATGGTAAACAGGAAGGTCTGCTGAGGCCAAAGAGTGTGAAATAGAGGTCTACAGCACCACATCGTAATCTCCAGTCATGTGAAGTTCCTAAAATACAAAAGAGATTGTTAATACAGAGATAAAATCTCCTCCTCTTCCACAAATATAACAGCTTAAGTAATCTAGGCCCACCAGACTATGACATTTTCTGGGCTTAAGATACAGTTCCTTCATTATTCCTGCCTCTTACTAGCTCTTATTCACTCGCTTTCTTTTTAAACTTTCTTGTTTAAAAGGAAGGCTTTAAGTTTCCTGGGTTGTAAGTTAGACATATTTAGTAGAACAAGACTGGAAAAGTAAGTGCTGTAATAACATTATGGAAAATAAAAGAAAAATAACCACACCCATATGCCTTTATTTTTCAAGTTGCACTCGTAAGTTTTTCTACTGGAAAAGTAAATAGAGAGACTTTGTTACCAAACTGGCTTTCTGTATTAATGGATTTGGTTGTATTTGCCCATGTATTCCACAAAATATAGTAAGAGCTTTAAGCATGACTAAGATCTTTACTCCCTGGAAACTGCATTGATAGAGAAATGCACAACCATGCTTTTTAACATCATTACTACGTCATGTACTTCACTAAATATTCAAAACTTTAATTTGTATTCATACTCAAAATATGTATTCTTACTGCACAAAGCAGTGCTTTATTTTTAAATTATTTTTCACTGCAAACTGTGTACTGTCTTAATATCTTCATACACAAATGGCCTAAGCACATTTGGAACCAATCACAACAGAAAGACATTTAACATCTGGTGCAATGCTGCAAATGCAGCGATTCTGGTGTTAACTCAGCCCAGCTCTTGACTGATTTCAAGTTTATTGAACATATTGTTCCCCAGCAGGAATTGAACTATATCTGGTAAACAAGACACAGATGTGCCCAACTGCCATGTTAATGTGGCTGTGCAGGACTTAGTACAAAATAAAATTACAAGATCTATCCCTGTAAATAGTAGTTTTATGGGGCCAAAACAGTGTTTGGACTAAGCTTAGCTTACCCTTACCAGTTACACTTAACCAGGTACAAATGAAACCAATATGAATATTAATCTGGACATTCCTAACATTAAAATACTCCTTAGAGAATGACACATTGAAAAATATTAATTTTAGAACTATTATATTATCAATTTAATTCAGATTAACACAGGAAAAAAAAGATTACATATATAAAACAGTCTGTTCTCCACTACATGTGCTAATGTTAAATGAAAGCAACTCGTGATTCTAGAAACATGCACCTTTAAACCTCGCTACTAGCCCGTCACACATCAACAAATTTTTTCAAGGCACCCTGGAATGCTACAGTCACCCTTTACAGAAGATTAACTGAAACATTACATCATCTTGAGGCATAGAAATTCAGGTGCTTAAAGCCCCATGAACCTTAATAAGAATGTATACCCTATTTGTTACTTGCAAAAAGAAGTAATGCTTGTAACACTGCACATGCTCTTCTTTCATGAAAAAGCAAAAACAAATTCTCTGATGGAAACATCAAAACTGTTTATTTTCTGTGTCTGACACTTGGCAAATCCTATGAAACTCAACTACTAGTAGTCTCCCCACTTCAACCCCTGGAGTGTAGCTGTAAACTTTTAAACACTGAATATAACGACACACAGAGAACAGAAAGCCTGCAATGACCTAAAAAAGCTATATAAATGTTTATATGTAACCTCTGTAGTAATGTGCCAGATGTTAAAGGGCAGTTTGTCAGGACTGGATAAAACTGCTTCAGTAATGAAAAACAAGTCAATAATAAAGATGCAAGCCCTTCTCTCACTAGGATCTTTCCTAATCTCACAAGGCAAACTGAGTTTTAGGTCTATAATGCACTTCTAAAAATCTCATTTAAATTATCTATACCAATGCTGTCCTCTCATATTCTCTGAGAGTTTAGAAAAAGAGGACAAAAAGAGACCATCTAATGTAAAGCAAACTCTAAGTGTAACACAGACACTGTTACCTGAGGAAACACTTGCTTTGAACAATTTTGAACATTAAAAGCACGATTCTGTGCAGAAGGACATCAAAGCACACTACATCAGTAGACAAAAGAAAAACAAGGTTTGGTAGCCTATGTCACTAGGAGTGTTCTGGAAGTATATAGATGACACTCAGCTTCTGAGACTGTATTCTTAACTTCTAACTACTGAAACTAAGAGAGCTCTTGGCATATTCTGAAGCAAGTTTTTAATACTTATTTCAAAAAACCTCACAATAAAACCCTAACACAACAACACAACAAACAAATCAAAAAACCTAACCTGAATTCATCAGTTTCCAAAGCTGATCTACTAAAGCTTCATTACATAAGGGGGACTCCATATTCTTGGTGAAAGGTGGATTCTTAGTCAGCATATCCAAAATCTTATGCCTGAAAGAAACAGAAAAATAATCTTTATTAAATCCAAAAGAAAAACCCTGAAGATAAAAAGTCTGTTGAGTTCGTAATATTCTTACAAACTTAGTAAACTTACGGGATTACTTCCAAATTTTTAACTAACGTTTTATGCCTCTAGTTCTTTCTTCTGTCCACAATATGCATGGACACAGATTTACCATAAGCAATATAACTTAGAGATAAAAAATAAGGTGCAAAGCAGTAGGATGTTTTTAGACATAACTGTTAACAGTTGTAGGCCACATTATGCTCTTCAGTTTAGTAACGGTCTTTTTTTGCACACTGACTTGGAAGTTTACCAAGAAGAAGCAACACTGGCAAAGAAACTTCTTACATACTGATAACAAAGAGTTTTTAAATAACTGTAAATGTTTATGACTGAGACAAAATAGCAGGCCCAAAAACAGTGACTTGCACATTTTCCTGGAAACAAACACTGCCACCTCTTAAGTTACATTGGTTTCTGAAGATCCTGCACTTACAACGCTTCTTACATTATTTACACATTGAGCTGAAAGCAGATACATTTTTATTTCTTCAAACTTGGCCTTGAAAACATGTAATGAACTCTTTGTTTTATTACTTATTATTTTAACAATTTTTCTCTGTATAGCCAGCTTTCACCTTGATGTCTTACACATTTGGAACAAGAAGACTCTTGCAGATAATTTTTTTTGCATTTTCTTTTAGAAGAGGCTAACATATTGCACTCAATTCAAAATTTAAACCCCTCTTTAAAAGGATACAAATAAAATTAAATCTCCTTCTTAAACTGAAGCTAAACCTGTATTTATTTCCATTAACAAGAATGACAGAAATGAAAGAGAACAACCTTGCAGCTACAATGTTTCTAAGAAACCACCTATATAGAGAGAGTAAAAGTTGTATTATTTAACTTTGAAAGTCAGTATTTTAATGGTGGTCATAAGAATAAAATGTTGGAAAAAACCAATTATTATGAAAATCTTGGTGTCCACAGGCTTGCAATGAACATGCAAAAATACCCAAACACTTGTGTGAAAATGAAGTTGAAAAAAGCAACACTAAAATTTCACCATATGTTTACACGATCCTTTCACCCCACCTACAGTCTGACAATTGCTTTACACCCCTTGGTGTCCAAATACTGTGTGCACTATGTCTCAGCCTCTGTCTTTTCTAAGTATCACAAAGTCCTTTTTGCCATATGCAACATCACATTTATACACTTTATTTATGGTCAGGAAATAATCTCTAACTTCAGACTTCTGCCACAAGGTAGACTATAGCAGACAAAAATAACATAAAGCAGAATAAGAACAGAATATACTACTTCTTGAGATGTGAACCGTTGAAACATCTAAACATGTAAAATTAATGTAAAATTACAAGAAGGAAAAACAGCTTTGTGAAGAAGCAGTTAGATTCCAGTGAAGAATTTACTTAATAGCCTCGGCATTAGCAAAAAATCCTGCCTTTTTATTAACTCACCTTATGTAGGGTACAGGATCACTCTGAACCATAGTGAGTAGCCACTGTAATTCTTCATAGCTCCTATCAACTGCAAAGCAAAATAAAATACCTATCAATATATATAAACTGGAAGGATTTTGATGAAGACAATCATGAGTTCCTGAATTAGCACATGAAGAGCATGAATCATTGCTGCTAAAGAGGAATTCCACTAACTATGGAGCAAATTCAAAGTAAAAAGTGTATTACTTTATTTAGAAATAGACAAAACTCTTACATGCCTCAATTGTTCAATAACAACCAATATGACTATTTGCATGAGCATTGATAGCAAAAATCAGAGTAAAGGCTCATCTGGATAGTGTGTGCTTCCTAAAACGAACACATTCAAGTATCTTTTCAAGAATCAGAAGCACAATATCTTCTGTAGAGAATATACAATTCTCATACACAGGAATCTGTGAAAAATTACTATCTTTACATATGACAGAAAAGGACTACTATAGGGCTTATATAAAACTGCAATCATGGTCCCCTCAGTAGCCTTCATTAGTTTTATAAATCATTATACTTTGCAACTAAAATGGATTTTGAAACCTATCAGCACAAGCTCCTAGAAAATTGCTGTTTGACATTGCTGGAAACAAAGTCAGCTTGTTAGTTTGAAATGTAACTTACATTACAAAATTCCTTTGATTATCAGAGTAATATTGCAAATTAGGGAACTACATGGGATATCATAATCACTCATTACACAAAGAAAGAAAGAATTTTTATGTGATCTTTTTGTCAGGAACATAACTGTAAGATTTTTACAGCAGTATTCTCTTGTAATTTCTTCAAAACAATGAAAAGAGTGTATTAATCATTACTGGATAGACAGGTCCAAAAACATTTCTATTGCTTTCCATCTTGTGGTCCTAGCAATGTATTTCTTTCTTCTCCTAGCCAATTGTATTTCTAGTTCTAAATAGGTCAGTTCAACTTTTGTTCCTTATTTTCGTTTGTTTTCAGCCAACAATTTTAAAATAAAACTTCTTTAGTCCAATCAATTCTAATACCAATTATTTTCTTGTTATTTCACTAGAGTAAGTTGCTTTTAACAGAACACATATTTATTTATAATGTAAGAACCAGCATTTCATTCTATTCCAAGTTTTTAAAATGCTTTGGACAACTAGAATGTAAGACTCCTTTCTGGGCTTGGAGAAGGCAACTGCATTAAAAGATTGCTTAGATAATGGCTGGAGAGTCTTTTGCAGGCCACTTGCAAGTCAGCCCTGCTCTTCCCACAGTCCAGCCAAAGCAAAACTGGTTACACTGCTGAGGCTGCAGTAAGCCTGTTTAGAGGCAGAATGTATCAGCTCACATAGTGCACTGTTCAGAGTATGGCTACAGTTCTAAATGAGGTCAGAGCAAATTTGTATCCAACCAGATCAGAATTACAATCTCAGATTTGCCTTAAAAACCAGAAACCTTTCAAAAACTATGCAGAGAACATAATTTTAAGGGATTAGTGACTTCCTGTGCTCAGCTCAATGCACAGCTGCTCTTCCTGGCTTGGGACAGAAGGCAGCTAGAACACTGCAAACAAAAGTTGTTTTGCATGTAACAAAAATTGTATTTTATTACCACACAGCAAAGAATTGCAACACTGCAAACATGAAGTCACAATCATTAGCAAATTATAATTACTTTGACTAACTAAATAATTAGTCAAATTAAAATGCTTTTTAATTACAAAATGAAACTGCTGGGAGATTAATCCTTTAGGCTGTTGGTACTGGATAACAAAACCAGATAACACCATACTTTTGTGATTTAAAAAAAAAAATTGTGTGTTTTAAACTTATTTCTGCTAGAAAGGAAGTAAGTCTTCAGTCTTCCCTGCTATGTGCCTTATAGTGTAAACTAAGCCTTCTAGGCTTCTCCAAAGCTTTGTTACTAATGCATTTAGCTTACTCTTCAAATTTATGTAGGAACTATGAAACAATTTGGACAGCAATGACAAATTAAACCTGACCTCAGGCAGAACAAATCTTACTACCCAGAAGAACCATGTACCAGGCCTGGTTTGGAGACCTCACAAAATCATCTGCTCCAACCTTCTACAGGAAAGGGAGCCTAGCTGAGATTATCTATCACTCTGTCCCAACTGCATCTTCAAACATCCAGCAATGGGGACTCCACCACATCTCTGGGGAGGCTGTGCCACTGATTGATTGTTCTCTCTGTAAAAAAATTATTTTCTTGTATCAGAATGAAATGTCTCTTGGTGCAACTTGTACTTGTTAATCCTTCTCCTTTCCATGTGCAGGAGAGAGACACTCCATCCACTTTGCAGCTGCTCTCTAAGTACTGGAATATTGTGATGAAGTGCCCCTAAGCCTTCTCCAGGAAGAAAAGAGCTAACTCTGTCACTCCTCCCTCACAGAGCAGGTTCTGCACCTCCTCATGACCCATCTTTGGACCCTCTGCAGTCTGCCTACAACTTTCTTGAATTTTGAGGGCTGCAACTATATACACTGCTTGAAATGCAAACTGAGTACAAAGCAGAGTGGGACGATCACATCTGGGTCTCTGTTCATATCGCCCCTGCAGACGCAGACCAGGATCTGATCCTCTGCAGCCACGCTTCTGACTCGTGGCCAGCTTGTCATCCACCAAGACCCCCAGGTCCCTTTCAGTGATGCTGCTCCCCAGGCACAGGTCCTGGCCTGTTCTGGTTTGGTTATGTTGTCCCAGGTGCAGGACCTTGCACTTGTCAAACTTCATGCAGTTCTTGCTCTCCAGCTCTCCCAGCTTGCCCAGGCAGAGGCTGCCCTGTCTCTGTCTCTCCCTTCTGACATGTCCCCCTCACCACCAGCTTTCTCATCAATAAACCAGGTGCAACTGCTTTCAATGCTGCTCTCCACACTGGGGGACCCATTTGTGAGAGACTGCCAGCCTGAGTAAAAATCACTGATCACCACCCTCTGAGTGCAGCCCATGACCTGAATTCTTACCACTGCACTGACCACCCATCCTGTCTGTAGCTTGCCAGTATGTCTAGGAGAAGGCTGTGGGAAAAGCAACATGTGTAGATTTTCATATTCTGGTAGATATAAACAAAAGCGATTGCTTTCTGAAACAAAAATCCCCTTGTGATTTTTTTTCAGATTAAAAGCAATGTTATCTCAGTCCTCAATTGCAGTAGAGCATCTTTGACACTGAACTTTAACATTCATCAAATTTCATAATCGTTATTTATTTAGAATAGTTTGTTGCTATCTCTTCTAAGTATGCAACTGCCTTGTTCTATACAAGTAATAGTTATATAGCTCTCACAAGTTAACTTTAAAGAGTTTAAAACGTTCACTTAAGCCACTTTAGATAAACTGTCCAAGCCCTCATATGCTGCCTCAAGCATTTAAAAAGTTACCATTTCTCAAAAAAAACCTTGCTATTAATGGCAAAGAAAACAACTTATTCAGTTCCATGGAGAAATTATTTCTTTTCAAGTAACTCAAAAAGGTAGTGTTATTCCTGCTCTGAAAGTTCCACCCAGAAAACACAGACTTTCCTTTTTATGGAAATTACAAAATCTGTCAGCTTCCTTTACAAGAACTGTTAAAAGCCAGTTTTGGCACAAGCAACAGACACTTGATAGCTGCTGGTCTGCATCCAGTGTGAACTGGAAACCAGGTAACTGAGAGCTATGAGAATCAGATCTCTTTGCAATAGATGGCCAATCATTTCTCCTTCCAAAGCCAGGTTTAGGGCTCTGCAAGACAAGCAATGCTAGCTCCTCTATGGTTAGAGGAAGAAATCAGTTAGCACACTGAATTGCTGGATCATCCCTCCACCAAAAACCCACCAGTCTTATAGCAGGAGTAGAAACTCCTGTATTCAGTGTTTAGAAGCTGATGAGCAGCTGGACAGTAGGCTGTGTGGTGAATTGCAGTGACTTTATAGAAGACAGATATTTGCATCTGCTACTTCTGCATCAGAGAAAAAGCTGTTGGCAAGGGGCAAGGCAGTTAGGTACAGCAGTATTCTAGTCTGTCATTATCAGATCTCACAGTGAGCTCAGTCAAAAACTCTGTTCAGCTCAACCACTGATTTCAAATAACCTATTACTTTTCACCATTCAAGTTTTAGCCTCCTGTAGGTTTCAAGCATCTTACAGTATAATCTCATTTATACAACAACACTTCTTTTGATAAGCTGTTGTAAAGATGTACTCTATTACTTTGTAGTACAAACACTACCATCCATAACAGGTCAAGAATTTTACGACAAAACGTTATTTCTATCAGTTTCCACAGGGTCGGATGAATTAGTGAGGAGATTATTCTAAAGGAAAAGAGCTGATGAGTAAGCTTTCTATTCTCCAGCAAGTATCTCCACTAACGTTCTATGAAGGATGGAAAAAAGCAATTAGCCCACTGGAGAGCGATATGCATAGCACTAGCACAGTTCTGAATTCCAGAATCACTGTGTGCATCACTCACAGGGTCACCAAGTGGTCTGTGTGCAGTGCACAGCCTTCCTCACAGTTATCAGCTGTTCAGAATGACAGCCTGGTTTCAGTCTGTGACTAGATGCCTAAGTTTCACCAAATGCATTCACTCAAAGATTGCAATTGCCTTAAAACCTTCCACTGCTTATCTAGTTTGAGAAGTCTCTGGATAGAATAACAGGACTAATGTCAAAGTAATACAGCCCTTTAAGAAAAGGAGAAAACAATTATTCATGTAACAAGCAAAGGAAACTCTCCTTTACCCTGAAAACAAAACACGCCCACTAAATCTGACACAGAATAATTAGAAATCTAGATCTACCAGCCTGCTACAGAGGAAGAATTGAAGGATTTGGTCACTTTGAAAGATATCAACCTCCAAAAACAAAAGTATTACAAATCTGCTGAACAAGCAAAGACTAACCCAAATAAATGGAAAGGATAATATAATACTAAATTAACTTTGTGTAATGCAAATCACTGAAGTTGTAATGTCTAACTGCCATTAGAAATCTGTCAGGATTAAGTATCAACCACAGAACATTAAGAAACTGTCCAGGGTTGGTTTTTTCATGGACCTACAATAGTCAACTAGGATAAAAGCAATATTAAAAGAATGTAAATATCTCACAAACATAAGCTATGCATAAGGAATGGCAAAACAGAATTAGCCAAAATATCTCTACAATAATCTAAGTTTCCAAAATTTATAACCACAATATGCATGCAAAAAGCACAATTCAGGTATTAGGAAGAAGGTAAAGCAAAGTCGATGACTCTGACTAACAGTTATGGCTGAAATCAACTAAATTAAAGTCACAAAAGTCTTAAAGACAAATTACCAAATCCCCTTACTGCCACTCATTATTTCAAGACATAGGTATCTGATTCAATTTGCAAAGCACTGAGAAACAATGCTCAACACATCTCCATAAACACTTGTGCTTGCTGGGACAAAACCATAATATAAATCTCAGTTTCTTATTAATACACCCATCACCACCCCAAGCTCTTCTGGTGGACGCTATTTTAAACCAATACTTATGAGGTAAGCATTACATTTGTATGAGAATTGTTAGAAAATGTCAAAACACTTGGAAAAAAAGTACCTTTTGTATAATCAACAACAGCTTCCAGTGCTGCTATTCGGACATCGACGAAGTGCCCGTATTCTGCGTACGACTTGAAGAGAGCAGGATCACTGGGGACATGACCATTCTTCTGAAGAACTCGAATAGCTTTTAAACAGCTAGAAATGGTACAAGAAGAACATTTACATCAGCTTTATGGAATACCAGCCAAGAAAAATAAACTTTCTTCCAAATCAAGTACTGCAAATTTTCTGAACCATTAACATGATTAATATGATTGATATGTTACAATTACTTTCACAGCATGAACATACAGCTCTTATTATTCCTGAATTAGGCAGAAACACAAAATTTTCCACCCTGTCAAATCCATTGCTTGGTTTCAACAGAGACATGATAACTTAGAGAAACACAGCTCAGATGGTATTGCATGCCCTACAGTTATTGTTACAAGGCAAAACTTTCATAAATGCTCTTCTTAAAGAGGCATGGGATGATCAAATTATGACTGTTACTAAAGGTCTACATTGACAGAAATTAATGCTGGAAAGTAAAGCAACCAAGACAAACTTGCATTATCAGCTTTTGAAATTTGAAAGGAATTTGACATTTAAGATTAATACATACAAGCTAACTACAAAAAGGTCCATAAAACCCGAGAAATGTAGTGTCATTAAACCATACCTGACTGTGATAGTATGTCTGTAACTGGGAAGAAGCTTCTCCATATTCAGAAAACGTGTGATTTCCTCAAGAATAAGTCGTACATCAGGATTTAAGTTATCCAGTGTTCGAACTTCATTGTTCACGCTGACTGCAGGAGTCACAGAGTTGGCTAGGGCATCAATCAGCTCAGCACGATAGTAATTGTCTGAAAACTAGATAAAACCAATATTTAACACAAGAAAATGTAACTATATATATCCTTTCAAAGCTAAGAAATCCTAAAGCCCTGTTAGAGAATAGATCTTAAAACCAAGACCATGGGAGGAACTGCATAAGAAAGGAAAACAGGAAAAAAATGGTTCTGAAAATTGTACCATTAATCCAGCCAGCAACTTAATGAGCTTCTGAAGCGAACTAATAAGCTCACCGCTGCTTAGTAAAGAAAACCTTACTTCTTCATCAACCCCTCTTACCTAGGGCTCACAGTTTCAGCCCTTCCATTATGCTGTCTTTTGCATCTGTTGGTTGTGTTAGCAGGCAACAAAACATATAAAAATAAAATTCACAAAAAGCAGAAATAAGTACTGGATTTGAATATTAGTTACTTTAATCTAAACAAACCCAACATCTGTCAGATCCAGCAGATGATGTAGAAGGGACACATGGAAAGGTGGGGCTGAACCTCTCCCTCAGTGGTAAGATGATGTGAGCACGTCACCCTTTTCTGTGACTACTGATGCTTGCATTCTTGTGTCCAACTCTCTACCTCTCCCTATCCATCATCCTTACTTGTTACAGTATGTGTTCTACACACAAGAAAAAATGAAGTTTAAGACACATCAGACTGGTTCCACTTCACTCTGGATACTTAACTGGGAAGATTATGCTAAGCTCCTAGCTATAGAGATGGAATTCTGTATCATCTGAGGATTTTAAAGGTCATTTAATCATCCTCAGAAGTGGTCTGTTTGGGAAGGAACTTGGGGTGACAACATTTCCAACTTAGATGGCTCAGTTCAGTGATAGACAACATAAACCTATGGTTCACCTGTTATTTAACCAGACGAAGACAATCCAGTTCTGTGAGCTAGAACTGATACTCAGAACACAGAATTTCAGAGTCCTGTACAGTGTTAAAAAAAGATTATTTCCTTTCCTTGCTCTTTCAAATACTCCTCTCAAGGTGAAATAAACATCAAAAAAAGAGTGCTTAACTTCTCATGCTACATTTTCTCAAAAGGCTTGGGTCTTTTGAATGAAAAAGAGTAAAACAAGAAAAGTATGTGTGCAAATGAAGACAAGCAGGTCCTTAGCAACAACAAGCACAGAGAGCTTTGAAACACCCAAGTGCCGCCATAGAAATGTCAGCTACACAACATTCTCTAACATTTACTGCATAACCTTTGCATCAACTCTGAGCTAGGTATTTGCAGCAGTAGCATCAAACACCATGCAGTGTACTAACTAAAACTTTTTTTCATTAAAAAAATCAGTAAGAGATTAAAATAAACACAGTACCTTATTCTTCCTGTTGTCGTTATACTTGATCAAATCCAAAATAAACATTAAAACCTCCTTGGGACAAAGGTTGTGAACATCTCTCAGAAGGGCCATAGCAACAGGCATAGTCTGTGTAATAAAATTAATTAATAACACTCTTTACATTATTGAAATGATAGCTACACCCTGAAAAGTGGTACATCCTGAAAATCAGCAATTAACAAATTTACAACAGCAGGTATCTGAAAAGCTGTATTTACATACTTTTTGAAAGTCAGACCACATACTATACAATTTTCAGATTAAATGAACTATGTAGTTATTGCTCAGTAGTTAGTGACAATACAGACATTAAAAAAAAAATAAAAAAACAGACTCTCAAGTCAAAAGGTATCAAATGAAATACAGTGAGACAGAGAAAATGATGATGGGATTTATTTTGAGATAGACACTGAATTTGAGTGTTTCCATGTGAACACAATGCCAAAGCTTCCACTTTCACTGAGACATATAGATCCAAAAGGATAAGTGAAGCCTGAAGAATTATTAGTCAGACAGCTGTTACTCTGATTAGGTATTTATTTTAGAATGAGCTAAGCAGATCTCTAGGCTCCGCTCAACACAGATTTAAGAATCTTACTCTAGATCTACAAACTTGGCACACAGGATTAAAAAGGGAGAAAAATGTAAGATTTTGTGGCAAAGAATGGACAATGACCAAAAAAGCAGAAAAATACAAAAAGAAGGTCCAAAAACGACATGAAGGATGAAGCACTTTTGGACAGAGTAAAAATTCCCAAAACTTGAGTCTTCTATAAAATCAGTAATATGAAATCTATGAAATAAGTACTCAATCACTCAGTCAAGCGAATCTTGAGAGAAAAATATTGTAATTAACTTCATTATCCAATGAACAACCAAAAACTGTAGGTTACAGAAAAAAAAAACTGTTAACACCTAAGTAAACAGTGGCAATATGTGACATTGATAACAGAAAGAAGAGGGCAAGAAGGATTATGCAATGTCTTAAATAAAAAAGCCCATCAATTTAAGTTATATAATTTTATTTGCAGTGTAACTGCTAATAAAGAATGAAGGCAGTTGCTGAATTCACCTAAAATATAAAATTAGTATCTTCCTTACAGTCCTGTTTAAGAATGAGCTTACAAATAACTGCAAATAATTATATAATAACAGATAATTCTCCATTCTCCTGAATAAACTGCTAATTTAACTTCAGCTACTCAGAAAAAAACAGCTAAGAAATGTTAATTGATTTTTTAATAAGATGGAATAAACTGAAGCCATATGAGAAAGAATTCTTTACTTTGATTTTTATTGAAGAGTAAATCAGGTTTGTGCTATCCATGTTCCTGCAATTGTCAATTGTAGGAATATTTCTGTATTTTTTACAATTCTTTTAAAACATTTATTGGGAAAAATAAATTTTACCTTCTGAAGAAAGTAGCTCTGAAAGTTCATGAAGTTGTTGGTCTTCACAATGTTTGGACAAGTCTTACAACAAAACATTCGGGTAAAGAGTGACTTCATGGCTGGTGGTCCTGTCCACGTACTTACCATGGAATTTGCAATCTGAATAAGTAGGGGGGGAAGGGAAATCTTATTAACATGACCACTGCAAATTTAGCTTGGCTGTAGAAAAATACACATTTCCCATAATCAAAAAGAGTAATTGCCAAGAACATTCTCTACTTTAAATAGTTACTTACTTTCATGAGTGTATTATCTTATATTAGCTAAGTTTTCACTGTCATTCCCAATATATCTTATCTACATTAAAGGTAGGTTTTATAAAATGGTTCCACTTGGAAGACATCTGCAACTGACTATCCTTCCACGATAAACTTCTGCTCTTAATTATTTTCTCTGTTATATATTTCAGATGAAAATTCTGTGTTTCATAAGCCAAGTTCTCTGACTCTATGGAAGCCAGTGATGGAAGGGGATTTTGCAATACCGACTTTCCAAATTCACCCTGCCAGTAACCTCAGCCTAGACTTTAAAACAGGCCTCGGCCACCCTAAGAATAAAAGACCACCCCTAAAGTCAAAGACAAGGCAGTTCCCTCTAACTTTAATTGTCATTTACTAAAAGGTTGTGCACTGAGAACAATTTATTGTTACAGTCTGCTTTGGTGTAAGACAGTTAAGGTTCCAAAAAGACAAAACTGCTTTTTGTGCCTTCCCAGCATTCTGGGTTTCACACATTTGCCGTATGGAGCAGTGAAAGCCTGCAGACAAAACTACCTGTGCCTGCTGATGGATAATCTCCCTGATGTGTGTGTGCACACAAATGGGACCAATGCACCCTACAATGTACCAGGAATTCCCATGCTTACAGACCCACCACAAACAAAGGAAAAATCTGTTCTTACAAAGAAAAACCTGAATTTGATGATTTCCTTCTAAATTATGTAGCTTGTTTCAAAGGCTATTACATATGCACTGAGTGAAGGAAAAGCAAGAAGTTATCTGAACATGCACAGCAATCCACTTCACCATTGCTTTTGTGGAAGAGTAGGGCTTTATAACTAAAAACCATTTTCCACTAAGCCAGGCTTCAAAGAAAAGTCAGAGAAGGGAAATACTGCAATTGCTCTTCCCCTTGCAGTAACTGAAGTGTTTGAAGTAAAGATGCAGGTACTGCTCTGTCTGAAAGCTACAATAACTCTTCCTGCAGAGGAAGATTAATCCCAAAGACTGCTTAGAAACCATGACAAAGAAATTAAAACTACAAATATGAAATTTATGTAGCACTGTCCAATAAAATTCAATTCCCAAAACATCGAAGTGTACTATGTTTACAAGATACTCACTATTCCATTAACATCAGGGTGTGCATTTTAAAATATTAACATCTTATTGTAAGCATTTAAGTTCATAAAGTCTGTAGATAAACAACTATTCTCAATTAAAATCAATAGTAATTAAGCCATCATCTTTTCAGTATTTTTTTGGTCTTAAGTGGTGTGACTCATCTGAATTTCTCTTTACTGACAGAATCTGATTTTTCTGCTTATTCTACTGAGGTATTACACATTCTGAACAAAATGTAACTGCACGTTCCCCATACAGTAGCACAAATGAACCTGTCTTGCATTATTCCTACTTAAAAAGGCAGGAGGCACACTCCATTTCTGCACATTCAATTCAATACAGCACAAAAATGTAGCCTAAGGTGTGACTCTCATGCACACCTATGAAACTCCTGAACATTTGGGAGGGAGAAGTTTGTGATAGTACTGTTCCTACTGCAAACTTTGTAACACATCACCAACACTGCAATGGATCTGAACTGGGAAATGAGCCTGTGTACTTAACGACTTAAGATTGTGACATTATTTTCTCCTTTGTCTGTATGTGTTACTTGTCCTGAAAGACTCAGCACAGTGTGTATGCACACATGTTCACACACATCTCTTAGTTTATGAATGAGGATTTAATATGTCACCTGGATACTTCACTGTTGAGAGAATGAAGCCCTGTTTTACAATGAAGTATACCAAAAAAGTGTAGCAAATTCAGTTTGATAATTGCATTGTCACGTATTATTTCCCAGTATCAACATGAGTACACCAAGAGTATTTGACAACAGTAACTGCAACCCAGCTAGAAACTGTAAATTAAAAAAAAGAACTCTCCACCTGAATAATTACAAGGGACTTGGCTTTTTTCAATAAAGAATACAAATCCAGAATATTTACAACCTGAGAAAATTAAACTCAATGACAATAGGAAATTATTCTTATTAATGTCCTGATTCTGGAATCTGTAATAAAATGTATTACACTTTCCTCCCAGGTAACTTACATATAAACATATCTACAACTTTGTCCTGCCATGCTCCTTCACCTTGATTTAATGTCACAATCATACTTTCTGCTTGCCTTATTATCTTCTTTTCTGCAAGTCAACCACCTTACCCTTGACCCAAGATTTTCCATACAATTAAAACTGAACAAAACCAACAATGATTATCTGCAGCCCAATTGCCTAAGAAGTTAGAGTAAAGATAGAAAAACGATAGCATTTAATGTTGCAACAATTGCTCTTTTAATATTTACCTGGGGAAATATACTATTAGATATTCCAAGTGAATTTGTTATGAAAAGCACATATTTTAAGTCAGATACTGGCAGCACCAATACTAGAACATACACTGGCAGTTTCACATCAGTGTTTCATAATATTAAAATAGTTTTTCAAAAACACTGGATTTGATTTTCAAAATATGGCAGAATGCTTTATTTCTGTGTGGGAACTAAATTATTCCCAGCAGGTACACAGCAAAAAGCAAGCTATATGTCAATAATCTGAACTCTACAAATTGTCACGCAATATGTCTTCTTGTCCATAAAAGTCACCACTATGCCATTTTAAAAATTCTTCTGTGTTTCTACCCACATGGTGTAAAATTAGGGGTTTACTAATTTTCATTCTTAATGCTAATTTTATGTCTAAGGAAAAAAAAATCTCCCCTTTTCAAGGCAATTATTTGGCATTTTAATATTTAATTGTAGCCCAACTTGATGTTTATTTTGTGACCCTATTCAATCTGAAACGATATAGAGTAGCAATCTGAGGTCCACTTAGAAAAAAGACGAATTTCAGCACTTCAGAGTTCTCAAAAGACTGGCCAAGGAACTGCCCACTAAAATAATAAAAAATATACTTTGGTTCTGAAAAAAAAATTAAACAAAAGTCTTTTATTTCTGCCACTTAATGAAATCTGGAAAAATCCCTTGTGGTTTTCGTGTCTGACATCTCAATTTTGACAATTATGAAAGCCTTCTGCAGTCTCCATTTACAGACTAAAATAATACAACTTTCCTTTCAAATCAGTCATGTTAAAAATACTTGGCAAATACATCTAAGAAGCTAAATATCAAGCCAGTTTAGGAACTGTGATGAGTTTTGACCCATTTTCAGCCATTTACAAAGTCTAGTGGATTTCCTCCCTTACCCCCATGCACACAACCTCACCTTTGCAAGGCAGAAGCAGGCCAGCATTCTCACCCGGTAGAAACATTGTTCCTGTTCCAGGATGTCAGTCAGTGCCAGCCGGGATGCTGGAGTAGGGAACTTTTCCAGTGCCAGAATGGCTTCTTCTTGTGCCACCACATCTCTCTCATATCGCAGCTGGTACTGCCACATGAAATCAGACTGCTCAAACTCCACCTTCCTCAGAACCGACATATCGGGATCTATTCTTATCCACAGCAAGGGCGAATCAGCACTAAGACACACACAAAAAACATTGGTAGCTTACAAAATTTCAAGACTATGGAAATTATAAAGATCTTCTAACTTGTTATGAGTTATTTGTGAAGTATTTAAATTCAAAGAACCATAACAAAATATAGGTTAGAGAGAACCTAGACTTTTGAAAGTCTCCTGCCCCTATCTCCTGCTCCTAGGATGGTAATTCTATAGCCTCCCAGGGCAATCTATCCAAACCTCTAATACATCGAAATGAATACAGTGTTACAGCATTTTTAACCTATAGATCTTTGTTTATGGTAAACTACTGTATGATCTCAGTATATTTAATTCTATTTGCTCAGATGCTACAGTTTTCCTAACTGATAAGCACTTTATCACTTTCTAAAGGTTAAGACTACAAAAAAAATCCAAGAAAGAAAATCACTATTTTTTTAATCAATAGATATGAAACTCCTTTACAACCACTCACATGCTATGATGTTGAAAGCTGAGAAGGGTAACCACGAAAATGATGATAAAAATCAGGATTAAAGTTATCCTACAGATAAAATAACTCAGTTGTATTCCACCGAAACAAACATTTTACATTTTTGTACTCACACAGCACCATGATTGCAGAAGTAATTTATGGGAACAACAAGAACAAATTATGCAGTATATTCCCTTACTCATTTTTTCACATAAAAATCACAAAACCAAAATACCAACATGGCATTAGGAGAGAGTTTGGACTGATGAAAAGAGCATCATTATAAATGTGATGTGTATTTCTGTATATGTTTGTAAAAAACGAGAATTACCATCAAGTTAGTAGCTAGAGAAGAAACAAAAGTGAAAGAGTGTATACACAAGATTTAGAAAATAGAATGTGTATTAACATACATGCTTGGAGCAGAGGAGTCCAAACTGGACAACAGAATGACCACACCACAGATCAGGTTATCACATAAAGTGCAAGTGTCTTGCATAAAATCCTACCCCAGTTCAAAGGTCATTCTAAGATCACTGAAGTCTCAGCTCAGGATAGCGCAGGAGGGACCTGAGCATAACTGATCAAAAATACTCACAAATATTTAGGGTAATTACCCTTCAATATAGTTAAACTATTAATATGTCAACTGTCATATGGAAATGAAAGCAATGACTTGCTCAATGTAAATATGTCTTACGAAGTTTTTTCTCATCATGTATTAGATGAGGTTAAATTTATGTGAATCTGCAACACTTTTAAGGTGACAAGCAATCTATCCTTCTTCAAAGAGACATCACTGGCTTTCAAGAGCAGATTATTTACTTCCCTCAGCCAGAAAACAAGGTGCCAACACCTCCACTGATTCTGAGGGCACTACTGGCTCCAAGTCAAAGAGGGTAAAGAAGGTATTTACACTGAACAACAATTTGCTTCCAAAGAACTTAACAGTTCCAACTGAAATGAATGTTAGTGTGAAGCACTTTGCAATTATCTTAAATCTAGAGGAATTATTTTGTAATTACAGATTTCAGGAACTTGTGTGTATTAGTGGCAGTTAAAATGGTTTTCATCAAGATCCAACAAAAATTGATTTCACTTTGTTTCAAACAAACTCTTGTTGACACTTTACCTATAAACTCAGCTGAAAGGTATCACTGGAAGGTGCTAGGGTCGAGTAATTTATTATCACCATACCATGACCAAGATATTTTATAAAATCTGATTATATTGGTTAACTCCTACTTTTTACACTTCCCAGCATTTTCCCAGCTACAGCAGAAAAGTCTTAGTAAAGACAGAGAAATGTGGGAGAGTCTTCAAAGCTGTCGGTCATATAATAAAGTACAACTTGACTATCCAATCCTTCAAAATAGCATGCTTTAAATAAGGGGAAGGTGACTCAGACTCACACTGAGAAAGTCCAACAAGCCAACTTACTCCATAGCAGAAAGGTCCATGTCCACCTCTTCTCCATTCATCAGTGGAATCTTTTTCTTCTTATTTCTATTAAAAAAGAGGAAAAAAAAAGTATTACTTACCAGACTGGCAAATATATGTTTATAAATGAAGTTTAAGACTATGTAAGTACTCTGTGTATTTCACCACACAAAAACATAATGCTCTCTCCAGCAAAAAATATTCACATACTTGAGCTATACATCCATTTCTACAATTTTTATTCCCACCACTTTTACAATTACACATAAACACAGAAGTTTGAGAAGTAGAATTCAAAGTAATTATTAAAATGCATTAGAAGATGGAGAGACTATGTGGGAAGTATGTTACTTTTCTTGTTCCTTAGGTTTAACCTAACAGCCCCAGCACTCTATTCACTTGAGGCACTCATCTGGCCTACATTTGTCTTCCCTCTAACTTGTGATTTCCATTCAAAGGCATTTTGAATAATTTGATTAATTAGAATCTTCATTCAACTCATTTTACCTAAATTAGGTCTTCATAAAACTTTTACAAAACAACTAGTAATTAAGAACTGTGTAAGGTTTCTTGCTGTCCTTAAACAGTAAGAAATTTTCCACTTACATCACAGGTAAATCTTATTTAGTAAAATTAAGAAGAAGCATGTATTTCTCATCAAATGCCCTGTACGTTTTCATAAATCCATAGTAAAAATACCTGCAGTTGGTATTTTAGCTCTTACCTTCTGCTTTTAGAATGGCAAGGTATATCATGCTTAAGACTGTTTTCTTCAATCTGCAATGTATGGTTGAATGAGCCATCAAGTTCTTGCACTGTCACTTTAAGAGGACCCTTCAAGTTCACAAGATTTTGTTACTATCATTGAACTTATTATAAATGTATACATCATACTTGAACATGTAGGTAAAATAAGGAAAATGGATCTTACCACGTATTTCTGAGTCCCAGGAGATGTGTAATCTTGTTTTATTTCCAATTCCAATACATTCCGTTTTCTATTAAATGCAAAGCTACCATAAAATTTTACCACTCCACTCTGATCTCTAAAAAGCAGTATAGGAATTCTAGTGAACAATGCAATAATTATAAAAAGCCATAATTCTCAGTTCTTAACACTTGCTTCATGTTTCTTTATTCCTAGAACTTCCCATTCCAAGAAAATCTGGAAATTAAATCACTCATGTTCATTCATGAAAATCTGGGGGTCTACGTTCTTTAAATTGTTTTTCTTTAAATAGTTCTTTAATGCCCAATCATGTCTCTGAGACATGAGAAAAACTGAAGTGCAATGAAAACTACCTGGTATGAAGAAATTCATTATGAAAAACTGTTCTGGACTCCACCACATCCAATGTCCTTGGCATGCTCTCAGAAAAAGTAATTGTATAAGACTTCAGTAATTTCAATATGGTTTTACTACGTATTTTGGTTAAATAAAACTAAGGGGAAAATGTAGACATTAGTTTCTGTTTTCTACCCACACTACATTTAACTCCATTATTTTATTGCAGTTTTTCAAACTGAGTCATGTGAGCATTCACATGTGTGTATATGAGTTCACATATACGAGAATATACATGAATGACAAAAGTAACAATCTCACTCTAAATTTTTGCCCAGACAAAGATTTCTTCAAGACAACTTCTCCTGTGACTAATTTCACAATTCATTTCTGTATGACAGCCATTACTACACTTTACTTATAGTAAACACTAAATTGAATCATTTTAGTCTAATGCACACTCTCACAAGTCTCTGACAATATGAGACAAAAGCAAGGGAGGAACATTTAAGGGAAGAGTTTCCATATTGAAAGACACTTCTTACTGTACAGGGGTTATTAACTTTCCTCCCAAAATTTGGCCATTTGGCTAAATACCTCAGATTGGTTCTGTTCATGGAGGCTGCCTCCATGAAGCTCTGGGACTTTGTCAACAGGTACAATTTAAGACATTTTTAGTGGTTTCTTCAGCACAAGGTTTACACTCAGCATCAACACAGCCCTTTTAAATGGCATAAGACAGCACTAGTCAATAGCTGTAAGATCTCCTCCCAAGCAACATAAAGACCTGCTGTGATCTTACAAGGTGGAAAATCCATTTTCATAGGAATAGCAGTGTTTGAAGCATGGTAGGGAGGTTGCAATCATAGGATTAAATACAAGTTATAGTTAAGAGGATCAACCTTGGGCCGAAGTATGGAGAAGGTGAAAAAATCCCCAAATATGTGAGTTACAATTCTTTCTTCCTTACAGAACAGATGTAGTTAAGATTCACCCAGCTCAGACAGCAATGCTGACATTTAGGTGCAGCTGCAGTGTGAATACAGAGCTCCTATTTTTCTTAAGTGCTTGGCACAGCAAAGTAAGGAAATTAGAATAATGTGTATTTATACTTTAGAACACTTCTGATGCAAATAAAATACTAACCTCTCAAATTACTCTATAAATACTAATTATACAGTGCTTTTTAGTTAAGATACTGAGATGCATGAACGTTGTTAACTCAGCTGAAATTAAATACCTACTTTTGTTGTCTGCTACAACAGTAAGGTATGTTTTTGCTGCAGTCACGTACAATTCTAGCCTGGAGTCACATTAAATAAAACTAACAATTAAACCTGTTAAATGGAGCCACTTCAAATTTCCCCTCACATCAATTCAAAATAAGAAATCCTGTTTCTTGACAAATATCACCTGAATTTGGAGAATCAATACACAGAAGTTTATTTTACCTGAAATTGTGCTATTAGCACAATCCACCAAGCTACTGAAGTATATTGTAAACTAATAGTCTGTGCTTTAGGTTACTTATTTCATGGTGATTTACTGGAAATTACATATTAAAATTCACCAGACTATAGCATTTTCCATGTCCGACTTCAGCATATTTCTATGGGCAGTGTCCTCTGGAATCCTTTTAGTATAATTTGGCCTTAAATTCCAGCAGAGTTCCTGTGCTTCTTTCAAAAGAAAACTTAAAATAATGAAATCCCTTCTAGTAAAGAACATGTAAAAAAGCCAGCATAGTTCAAAGGACTATGAAAAGACTGTGAACTTGTGGCTCAAATATATATGTAATTCACAGAATAATGTACTTAACTGTTTTATGCAAGGACATTTCATACCCTTTTTCACATTCCTTTGATAGTGCAAATTAAAAAAGCAAATTCATTCTCCATATTAACCATCCAGACCAAGAATAAAAAGGATACACCCACTGCTTTATTAAAGGTTGGATGTCTTTGCCTGAGACATTTGAGATAGATTTCAAAAACCCAGATGTGGAAACCAACATCTGACTCCACATGTGTGACTGGAACTTCTGAGATGAAGCAGTACTGGCCAGACTCAACAACTTGTTGAAAACCTAAAATGATAAAAAGTTATTACTTTCCCTAAATATTTCTATATAAAATAAGCTTTTCTGTTTAGTTTCAGGTCAATTGCAACTAAAGGCCTATAAACTTACTTTCTGATAACTGCCTTTAAAAAAAGGTTTTCAAAATAAAGACATTATTGGAAATTATTTGCTTGACCATATTAGCAATTTTCAGTCCAAATGTATCTTCCTCCAAGTTACACATACATATATATGCACATATAAAATCCATTAAAAGATCATCAACTTTCAAAAATTATCTACAGTAAAAGAAATCACTGACTTTATCTTCTTTTTCAGAAATTAAACATTCATCAGATTCTCTGCAGTATTTTCAACCTGACAACTATCTATAATAGCTCTAGCACAACAACATACATGTTTTCCTTAAAAATAACCCCAAACCAAGGAAACAAAACCCCAACCCCCCAAAAACCTGAAGCTGATATGAAAATATCACTCATTTTTTAACTCTTTATTTGTAGCACACTAATCTTTCTACGGTATGTCATAAAAGATAATTAGTGAAGAAGAGAAATGACAGTTGTGCAGAAGTTCAGTACTTCAGAATAAAATTACAATCTTCTATTCAAATGCTTCTTCTAATATAAGCATCTAAGTTTCATCTAGCACTGAACACTTTGTATAATGAGAGAGCTGGATTTTCATTATTGTCATTATTTATAATTTCATTAGATTAGCTCACAGCAATACCAGTCATGGACAGTGAAAAATGCTCTCAGTGTTAACAACAAATCAAAATAACCCAAACCAATGAAACACCTTAAGATTAAAGAGAATATGCAGCATATAAAAAGTATTGTAAGTTACGCCATAAGAATAACAGCTAACCTTATCCTAACCCAAACTACCAATGTTTGTTCAGTCCTACTAAAACTGAAACTACAAATGGAATCTTAGGATGACCTGTTCTGTTCTTCTCTGAACTCTATTTAATGAAGAGAAATGCAATTGAAGACAAAGAGTTTTTTATATTCCACATAATCATCTAAATACTTACCTGTAACATGAACTCCATGCTAATTCTGTTTTCAATCAGTCTCATAACAAGATGTGCTTTACACTGGAACATAGTGTAATATTCCCAGGACAGAGTATGAGGGTGCTTGATTGAAAAATGTAAATGTGAAGCAGGGCTGGAAAAAAACAAAACCATAAAACAACATATATGCTGCGTTTTATTGAAACTTAAAATGTACCCCAGCAACCAAGCTTAGAGCTGCACCAACAATTACTTAGGATTTCTTGTACTGGTTTAGTTACAAATTATGGCACACTTAAAAAGACTAGTCACTTGTAGAGAGATAACAAGGGTGTATGTACCTGGCATCCAGCAAGCACTGTACAGATATCAATGGCACATGACAGCTGCTGTGCAGTGCTGTAGAGATAGTGGAAGCACCACCAAACTGAGCAAGGAACCTGTGACTGAGTCTGGAAATTACTTATGAATCAGCAATCTTCCTGCTCCACTTCCATTTAAGAATGACTGTACACAGTAAATATTTTGCATTTAAATAAATAATTGTTGCAATTCAAGAAAAGTAGAAGTTTTACCATTCACAGAAAACTTTCATGTGATGAGTCTAAAGAATTTCTTTCCTTTTATTTTAGTTAACAATTTTATCTTTCATTATTTTGGCAAACTTGGTATCTTCTAAATTAGGTAACATGTCAAAGAACACTAGGCAGGTAATATTTAATCCTTGAGAAAAAAAGGACTTTTTTGTGTCCTTTTAAGGAGACACTTATTTGAGAAGTAGAATTTATTAACAGTATGACTTCATTTTAGTGATGAACGGGTCTGTGGCAACTGCATGTTGCTTTGCTATGTTTTTTCTTTCAGTATTTTTCACAGGACATTTGAGATCTCCATGAATGAATAACAAACATCTGAAGAAACCAGGTTTGCTGAGGTTTGCAAGCAAGTGTTCCAGGAAGACAGTACCAGAACTTAGCTCCTTATCTGCAGCCCTCAATATTTCTGATGGCAAGAACCAAGGTAGCTGCAATACCTTAGTAACTTTTCCATCCTTCCATTTACTGGGACTTGACTTTGCTCATGAGTATCTGTTTAAACATCTTAAGAAGACACAAAAAGAGAAGTATTTCTAAATTTAAGCAAGTATTATCCTTCTTAGGTACAGTAATTTGGTGAAAGAAAAGTACATAGTTTAAGTCCTTTTTTGTAATTGATAAGCAGTTGCTCAAGTTCCCCTTATCAGAATTCTCCTGTTATTCTGGGTACTTCTCTATTCTAAGGTAGGGAAGAATTAGCAACCATGAAAGAATTGAAATTCGAGTAGGAAATTGAGGCTGTGGCTCAGACATTATATAATAACTTGGTCTCAGGATAAAAACGGTTTATCCAACTTCAAATTATACAGCTGATTGACTTTTGCAAAATTCTTTTCTTGCAAATTACAACCGAGCCAGGACCCACAATCCCAAAATCCCTTTTTAAATTTACTAAGTTTGATTGATTTTGGTACAGATAGATTTAACTGCAAAACAAGCTGAGACAAGTTTGCATATTTATATATATATATATATATATAAATTGACATTCAATATTAATACATTTCTTCAGATTATACTTTTCTTCAATCATTATATTCCACAGCTCTTACTGAACTGGCACCAAAACAGTGTTAAAATTACCAGTATGGACCTAGAACCTTTGTTGAAATAGAAAGTGAGCCAGTTTTTCCACAGAATTTTATACTGCTCATGCTCTTGAACACAGTCCAGTCATTCAATGCAAACATGGTTAGTAAGCTTCTTCCATACAAAATATATCTATATAAATTTCCAGAAGTTTTAAATTTTTACAGTAGGGTGGCAGCAGCACAATCAAAGAGAGCACAGTCTGAGAGAGGAGGACACAAAACGAAAAGGTTACACACAAAGCTCTGTTCTGAAGCTTTCATCCATACAGCAGTTAATCTGCAGTTTTCTTCCCTTCATTGCCCCAGGCTCTGGGATTTTGTCTTTTAGAATAAGCACTCTGGAGCGCCGTGTTCGTGCTACACCAGACATAAACAGGAAGAATCTGAGACCTTTGTTTTGCACACAAATTAATTCATGTGTCTGAAAGAAGTTGGTTTTTTGGTTTTTTTTCCCTTGATGATTCATTATGATATTTTACTCCCAGTTTAGCTGAAAATTGAGATCATTACTTAACACAAATTTTCTTCATATTATTATTAATTGGAACTGCTGTGCTGCAAATACATTCGTCAGGAATCTGTATCATAACAAGCCAAAGAAAGAAATGAAATGCGTAGAATATAATGGAGAAAAACGTTCTAGGCCCCAGTATGAAAATACTTTCCTTAAATACAGATTATCTCCCAGAGCCAGGAACATATAATCTACATACAAGGGAACTCCACAATCTACAAAGAACAACAAGTTGTAATTCATGTTTAAGTGATGCTGTGGTTATTACTAACGAACTGTAATACAATGAAGTAGTAAAATAACTGTAGAAACAGTTTCCAACAATATATCACAGCAAGGAAACACAACTTTAAGAGCATTAGGACAAGATTTTGTCAATTATCTGTGTCCAAATCTAGACAAAATATAGTGAAACTAATAAAATAACAGAGATTTTGATTTCAGTGAATTTCCTTCATTAAAAATGTGCCCCTTATCTCTAGTTTCATCTGACCTTATTACTGTGAACTTAGTGATTTTCATAATTTATTCAGTTCTATATCCAGAGTTCTACCTTTAAATGAACAAAATCTGGATTTGCACACAATCAAATGCAGAAGAAACACTGTTATAGGCAATTTTGCTTGTATTTTCATATACAGGGGCTTCTGCTGCAGTAAAGAACAGAAGTAATTGTCTACCTGCACAGGCTCAACCTTGCAATTGTGCATATGCTGCTTGTGTTTCAAAAAGCAGCTCCTTGTGAGGCTGTGTTACAAAGAGGATCAATTTATGCAAGAAAAGAAAAACCCAGCAAAAGCTTGTCACTGAAACCCATATCAACTTACTGATCTGACATGTAGCAATATTTTTCTACCTCCAGTGTTTAGTATTACTCAGTGGGTAGTACTGGAATATTACAAGAGAGGGAAGAGGAATCATTCTAAGCTAGACATACTGAAGCCAAAACTATAGGGAAAATAAAAACCCAGCCAGTTCACATTGGTAACTAATAGTACTCCACAGATTACTGATCTAATACTTTTCTACCCTCAATATAATAAGACATCTCAGTCTAAGACTACAAAGTGATATCTGAGAGCAGAAAGAAAAAAGGGCAAAGAAATATAAAACTGATGATACCATAAAAAAGCCTGAAAATTACTAACTATTCCAAAAATAGCTCATGTCAAAATTCTGGCTCTATGTTCTCTCTTACCCTCTTACTGAAAAGCAGTTTCGTAACAGCATTAAAAACACTCATTATACTTAATTTCCTTTGAGATTCAAATTAAAAGAAAAATAAAACAACAGGTATTACAATATACTCAAGACGTACTTTATGAGACCGGTAATACATGCCTTGGGCAGCTCGAGATCTTCAGCCTTTGGCCTTGTGCTAACCACACACCCAAGGCATACATTAATGGCCCCATAAAAACATACCCTGCAATGACTTGCAGCTTAAATAAACATACTTGTCTTTCTCTTTTCCTCCTCCGAATATTGGATGCAGTAAAACTCCTCCAGTCTTCAGTTCGTATGCCACGATTTGATCTAACTCCTAACAACAACATACAGAAGTTAGCATAATTTTGAAGAGCAGAGAAATTATTTAAAGAAGACAGGAAAGCTTTTAATATTGTTCAAGTCATACCTCCTAATAAGCTTGTTTACAAAGGGAGAAGTATTTTAAAATCATGGATGTACTTCAAAAGACAAACAATAATAAAACATTAGAAATTGGTAGTTTATACTTGTTCAGGGGCTGAATAGGGGGCTAATCCCCAACAGTGCTGAACTACATTATAACCAGAGTAGTAATATTCAATAAATAAATCATCTTTGACCAAAAGAAAGAAATGTGATCAGCATTTCACGCAATGTAAAACAACTACAGGCACACGCATACACAAATAAATATAATGTACTAAATATAGATATAAATAAATAAATAAATATTTATGTCTGGCCCAAGCTCTGCACTGAGTCTGAACTTGTGTGATGCCATGCCCAGGTTAACAAGTACACTTCAAGGCAGGATGCTTGTCACCGTCACCCAAAAGTCAACATGCATCAAATTATGTCAGCTGAAGCACAGGAAATGGAAACTGATGCCTGTCTGTAACCCAGTGTTAAAGATATTCCAAATGTTTTCATGTATTGAGATTTATTGGTACGTATCAACTTAGACACTTCCATATAGTGGCAATACATTAGAAAAAGGGCAGAACTGGAGTCTGTGACAGTAGCACCTCTCAATTCTACATGGCCACCTTTAGTTTAGTATGGACATATGGGGAACAACATGTGCAATTTCTGCTGCAGACAGCAGCGAACTCTTACAACAGACCTCCATCCAGTTCTGCCGTTCTCTGCAGCATCCACACTTTTAGCCAACACAAGAGTGGTGAACTGAAGGAGCATTAGGCAGAGAAGGACGTGGTATTGGGTTCCCAGATGAGTAAGGGATGTAAACAGGGCAAGTGGGGGTAGGATTTACTTTTTGGAATAGGGAGAATAAGAGAATGTGAAGAGAAAGAAGATACATATCTTTTTGTGAATAAATGTTACTGGCAAAGAATGAGGAGTCACTGCTGCTATCACTAGAAAGAAATTTTCTCGAAGATTACATTTGGAAACATAAGCTATAGACAGAAATGTATTTTCCAAGAACAGGAATCACTTTAAGCAGGGATTTTTTTAATGTTTCATTATTTCATGTAGTACTAAAAGATACTAAAAGATAACTGAACCACCACTGATTCAAGCTAATACTGGAGCCTATATGGATAGCCATCACAGCATAATAAATCCATCAAATACAAATCCTTATGAATCCTATATTCTATTCTAAGTATCCCAAAAGTATTATCTTTTTCTGACTCTTTTTTTTTAGTTCAGGAGTCCAAACAAAAACAGGAAAATTAATTGCATAGAGAGACAACAACAATTATTATTCATTATTCATATGGCAGTCACAAAAATCTATTTTGGTTTGTATGTTCAGTGCTCTTCCTTGCAGCAAGTGGTAAAAATACTTTAGGTCTGAGGTTTGTCACTACTAAAAAGGTCTTTAGATTGCAATGCAAAGTCATATTATATTCTGTTTTTATACTTCTTTGATGCAAAATGTCTGAAAGGTATAGAAAACGCTATGATGTTACCTGTTTAATCCAGTGACGATACTCATTAACACCAAAGGTTTTTTTCATCCAAAGGCCATAAATGTAACCAGAGATTCCCTTTAGCACCCATTCATCTGACCTATTTTAAGAAACAAACATTAATTGTATCACTTCAGAGGATGTTTTGTAAGGGATGGTATTTTTGACCAGTTCAAAAATAGCCAGAAATTTCAAGAGGTTGTATAACATCTCTAAGTCAACAGAAGTCTGATGAGCTGTGAACCAATTTATGGAACTTGGCACCTGGACAGGACTAATGAAACTGAAAAGTCAGTGAAAACTGAACTTTTACCACAGAAATCCAGATTAAAATATGAAACCAAACTATTTCAGCTGAAACAATAATAATAAACAGGTGGAAATGAACACAAAAGTTAAAGCAACTGCTAATCTATATGATCTTAATTTCTTGATAAACAACTCAATGCAGCGCAGAAGATTTGGACAGTAAGTAGACAAAATATCTCATAATTTGGTGGAAACCCTTTTAAACACATCTTCTGTAAGTTATGCTCTAAGAGAGAAAAAATTGACAAAAACTACAACATGATCATGAACTAGAACCTTAAACAGAAAAATGATATTGTACACAGGGTATGATGAAATAAATAGAACAAGAACATATAAAAATGGAGTCATTATGAAGGATGCAAAAAATTGCCTTCATCACAGAAGTAGGTTAGAAATAAAGAAGAGAGTCAGAGAAATTACAACAGTATAAACGTCAATTTAAGAACATGTTGATTTCCTTTGTTTTAAAGACAAGGTTGCTCTGGCACACAGACTTTTGCCATAAAAAAAGTAATGGGTTACTTTATTTTTTGGGTCTCCAATAAACAGAGTGTATGCAAAAGGATTTAACATAAATACTGATCAGAACTGCAAGAGCCATTTGGGGAGGTTTTCTGAGACATGGAGTTAAAGCCACCTTAGCAGGAATTTTCCTACTTGACACCAATTTCTGCATTCTCCTCTCTGAAAAACTTCTTAATTTATTAGTTCTGTGCTCTACAAGTACTTTGCATGCAGGCTATACTTGATCATTCAAAATATCTAATAGAAATTGACTGATCATGCAAAAGAGTTACCTTTCAAAAATTTTCAGATGCCAAAGCACACTACAACATTCAGGAAGATATATTCAATCTATACAATATTTGGAACTTTTGCCTCTTACATTCTCCTTTCAAAACAACAAAAAATACTAATGAATTTCATTTACTGAGCTGGGTTTATTATTCTTACTTTTTCCTCCATTTTCCCTTTCTTCTACAATTACTGTTTTACTTATTTTTCTGATAAAATGCAATTCACAAATTACAATTTGAGTGTCCTAGATCCTCCCCATTTTCTGGAAAATACTATGGTAAAATACTTACCAGGACATTCTGGATATGAAACATCCAAAGAACTGCTGGGCCAGGGCCTGTGCCAAGCATCTCCTTGTCAGTGGAGTTTCATCTATAATCATTGCACTGTGCAAGAGATTTGTGCTGGACCCCCATAAAAAGAAATAACACAGCATGAGCACTGGCTCCAAAGAAACACAAGAGCCTTAAAACCAGAACAAGTAAAATAATTTCTACACTGTTTTTTCAATGAGATAGTAACATCTTTTAAATTTTTTTATTTTTAATAATCTTAATGCAGGCAGATCTCTTGCTATTATAATCTATACATAACTCTCTGTGTAGAATCTAAGTAGTTTAATTGGTGAAACTCTCTTGGATTCCTGATATTCTATTCCAGCTGGAGAGAAATAAAACACTATCAAACTTCTGCACTTAATCTGAGATTAAATACCTCATGCATGGCATTTCTAATTCAGAAGGAAAAATCACTGCCAGTTTCTTCTTAAAGTAAATCCAACATCTTTACAACAGATAAAAATCGAAATGTGTTAAGAGCCTGTGATGTCAATAAAATCAAGCGTTTTCAAACTAGAAAGCCCAAAACTCAGGCTACAAAAATAAATTAGAGTTTCATGTATTTCCTAACAGTCTTGGATCTAAAGCTTCTAGGCCTGTGGATTTAGGTGTAATTTTCCCAAATACTAACCTGAAAATACTCATGGATGCATAAGCAGCTACTTCAACATAAGCTTCATCTATAAAAACAGTCTTGAAACAAGAGTAAGGATAGCGGCAGGTAAGAATCTCCTCATAAAATTCAAACACCTCATGAAGGTAGGATGTGGTGTGTTTGAGCAATGGCAGAAGTTGTGGTAAGCAGAAGTGAGTCACCTACAAACAAAGGAAAATTTGTTACAAGACCTATGAATATATTTAAATACATAAATATCAAGTATATTATGTATCAGGGAAGAAACCAAATTTCAACTAAATTTACCCCATAAATTCAGATATAAATGGAATTACTGCTTATTTTAAGGCTTTTTGGAGATAAATTTAAATACAGGCATTACTAGACAAGTTTTACCATATAACTGTACTGATGAAGGTTGATCTAGAAATACTTGGACTAATATACAATGACTGCAACAAAAAACCCCAGTAACTCTTTTGAAAAAAACCAAGGAGGCTTCTATGGTATATTACCTCATGCATGTATGGATCAACAAGGATTTCAAAAGGTCCAATTGCCAAGGAGATGTTAGAAGCTGCAGTTGGAATAGTCAACATGTAATGAAAAGTCTTCTTTCTCATATCATGGGTGTACACAGTTTCCACCAAATCTCCATTTGAAACAGCCACCATTGCAGCATCTACAGTATACTCAAGTTTCCAGGTACACAACTCAGAATATGAATCCACACAAGGAAACCAAAATCTAGGAAGGTTAGGATTGGGGGGAAAATGGTTAACAATTATACTTAACTATCACCTTTTCCACAGTTGATTTTTCTTTCAAGTTCCAAACTCTATCCCTAAATACTTTAAGAATATATGAATGTTGACATACTGACCCCTACAATACATTAACTTCATGAAGTTTTACAAGTGTATTTTGTCTTTACCTCCTGCTGAGCTCTAAAGACTAGACATTCTAATTACTAGTCAAGAGATGCTACTTCACACTGGTAAGCTCCTTTCAAGCACAAATTAAGTTTTAGAATTTTATAAACTTAAAAGAATTCAAATAAATTATTTGTATTTCCTACACTCTGAGAATAAACAGGAAATACAAATCTAACACTCAAAGACAGTTTTCTTACCTTGTAGAATTTTGATAACCGCATGAAAAGACATGAGCCCCTCTTTCTGCCATGTTGCCCTCCATGTTGGGTACCACAAAATGAAGGCCTCCTTTTGGCTGGTCCAGAGAAAAATTTATATGCACCTTTAGGACTTTTAACTCTGCAGCAGAAAGACCAAAACTGGAGTAAGTATAAACAACTTACACAAAAGTAATTTCAGAATAGTAACTCAGTTTTGGACTCTAGGTCTTTGAAGATTATGTGATAACTTCATTCTCATGGACTTCCCAGTCAACTTACAAAGTACAGCTCAAAGCTTACAAAACTGAGACGTACCTAAGCACAACTTACAGGAGATGAATTTATAAGAACTTTCATTAATTAATAAAAACTGCAATTGGAGTCACATTTCATCTTCCAATTCCCAAACAGTAAAGCATATTTATACAGACTATACCCTAACCATGATCTCCTTGGCACCCTGCTAAAAAAATTTTCTCCAAAATCTCTATGAAGCAGGCACATTCTCAAAGGACATATTATTGTCATTTGCAATTGCTTAAAATCTCTTACTATAGTTAATGCTTTTCCTGTAACTTACTTAAGTGCCTTTGCTTTGGTTTAGTTTCACAGAAATCTCACCTATGAACAGATAGGCAAGATAAGAAATTCAAGCATATACTGAAATTTATCCCACAGGTATCACCATATTTTGGCACTCGAACTTTGAAAAGTGAAATTGTACATGTTTGAATATTTTTCCCTTCTAGGCTTGCAGGTAAGGAAACAGGAACTTACACAAAAAATAAACAAAAATGTCTTTCCCATCAAGGTGCATCTGACAATATTGCATGAGTCAGCCTCATGATACAATTATTATTCTCTCAGAGGGCTCATAAATCCACGGGAAAAACCGATAAAACCATGCAAGAAATAATATAAGAAACTACTAAGATCCCTGTAAGAAAATAATCAACACTGGAGGTGTTTACTAAAATAGTTCCTTATTCCAGGATCTAGTATACCAGTTTATAAAGGAGTATACTTTCACTACCAAATCAATTTTAAAATTAGCATTCCTCAAAGTCAGATGGCATAAAATTAGTTAAGCTTTGTAAAAAGATGTATATTACTTTATCCTTGTAAATTATTTTCTTTGTTGGATATTATATAGATTGTAAGCAATTTCAAAATTACAATTTAGCCTTCAGTACACTCCATTATTCCCACTTCCTCAAGTATTTTCCTGGGGTCATGACCACCCAAGAGTATGTTTGTATATAGTGTCAAGAAACCTTGCAACACTTCATATTACCAAAACGTGAAATTATTTTTCAGAGTTCAAGTGGAGAGGAAAAAGGAAACAGTAATCAATAATTCATAAAATAATGTAACACTACTTCTACTTCTTCAAAGCTATTATCTTCCTAAGCAAACTTGTAGCTGACAACTCTGACATCCTAAATTAATTTTTCAGCATGGTCTCTTTACCATCAACATGTTTCCACAGCTCCGAGGGAACCTTAATGCAGAGTTCTCCGTTTCCAGCATCTGGATCCACAGCACTGACAGCAGCAGCATAGGCATTGGAGAAATAGTTGAGATTCCTCCTGTCAGAAATACCCAGTTAATTCTAAAAGTACAACTGAGCCGAACCACAAGAAACAATTAAGAAGTCAAGACAATTTCTATACTGAATTTCGAAGTGCATGGACGACCAAGCGTTTTGGTTTGTTTCTAAAGGAACGGAAGAGAAAAGGAGTACAGATCAGATTTCAACAACCAGAACTTAAAATATGGCTCTTGCAGAAGTGATCTGTGATCAAAACCACTTAAGCAGTAGTAACTCCCAATAAACTGAGAAATGCTCAGTGTTGTTTTCTTGCCAGTAAGAGTAGTATCTACATTTACTGGAACAGAAATTTTAAAATCTGGTTTTTATTTTGGATGAAGTTTGTATCTTTATTCTAAAGCTCCGTCTTGAAGATCTGCTTCCTCATATATTGCAGTTTTGCTCTTATCTTGCTTTCCTAAATGTAAGATTTTAGCTTGGCAATGGCATTTTTTCCCTTTTAGCTTGATGGATAGGAATAGGAGGTTTTTTTTAATGCACTTGTAAGTAACACATAAAATATTGTGAGTTTTGCCATTAATACACAAACACAGAAATACGTGCTATACTTTATAGTTTCTAGTTATATTTTAAACATTTTTTTAAGTGTACTGTTATTTATTTAAGATGCAAACACAGTTTTTTTGTAATAAGGTTTGAGCTATGTAAGGTTTTAACTATGTATCAGTTGCTTATTAACTCCTCACTTCATTACAAAGTCCTATCATTACTTCAGTTATGACTTAGATTAATTGTATTCTACTGAAATGAGCAGGAACATGTCTTCTGTTAAAGTACTTATGACTAGGATGTTACCTTATTATTTAATGTGGAGAATGACCGGTGAAGTTCAAAAATAACCCTGCTTTTACAACTTGATGCGATAGCTTTTATACTTCTTCAAAATGGATTTCTAAACTGTTTAAAGCATGGGAGCAAAATCTTTCTTAATTCTAATTCTCCAGTACACACAGTTTTTCAAAAGCTTGCACAACTATACCTGAAGAGAATGTTCTTGACTAACTTATCACCTTTCCCACAGAATTTAGCTGATGAATCCAAGCACTGTGGAAGCAAGATACAATCAAGCATAAAGCAGTCAGGGAATCACAGAGCCACAGAACACTCTGGGTTGGAAGGGACCTTCCAAGGTTATGTAGGCCAACTCTCCTGGGGGAGGACAGTGACATCTAGATGAGGTGGCTCAGAGCCCTGTCCAACCAGACCTTCCATGTCTCCAGGGATGGGGCATCTATCACCTCCCTGGGAAACCAGTTCCAGAGTTTCACTGCCCCCACAGTAAGAGTTTTTCCTTGCACCTGGTCTAAATCTACCCTCTAATAGTTTAAAATCATTACCCTACTGTATCAAGCCCTACTAAAAAGTCTGCCTCATCCTTCTTATAAAGCCCCCTCTAAGTACTGAAAGGTTGCAGTAAGATCTTCCTAGAGCTGCATCTTCTCCAGGCTGAACAACCTCAACTCTTTCAGCCTTTCCCCACAGACAGATGCTCCATCCCTCTTACTATCCTGGATCTGCTCCAAGAGGTCCATGTCCTTCTGTGCTGATGACCTCAGAGCTGGAAGCAGCACACTGCAGGTGGGGTCTCACAAGGGCAGAGTGGAGTGGAGGGGCAGAGTCCCCTCCCTCACACTGCTGGTGATGCAGCCCAGGACACTGCTGGCTTTTTGGGGTGCAAATGCCAGCTCATGCTGAGCCTCTCATCCATCAGCACCTTGAAGTCCTTCTCTGCAGGGCTGCCTGCAATCCCTTCATCCCTGAACCTGTACTGACACTGGGGATTGTCCTGACCCAGGTGAATGATTACTGCACCACAAGAGAGTAAATTAACTTCTGGCTGGGGACTCCACCTTCCGTGGAATCTGAAGTCCACACAAAGCAGACATGAGCTCATTTCAGGATTTTGCTCTCATCTAACCATCCTCTGTTCACCACCCACAGAGGAAACAACCCAAATTACAGTACTTTACTTGGAAGAACAAAGTATAATTAACCAGGACAGCAACACCATTCAGTAAGTCTAGGTATGTCAAACACCATGCTTAATATTCTGAGTCTTCCACATATAAAAAACTTCGATAAAACACAGAAATATATTGAGAACATATTTTCACGTAGCTCTTCATCTTTGGCAATAATAGTGCACAAATTCCCTGGCACCACTACCAAGACTGAGAATATCAGGAGCAGTAAACTTTTCTACTTTGCTTGGAAGCTTCTGAAAATCAGACATGAATAGTAAATGGGACCATTTCAGTACAGAAACACACAAATCTCAAGTTTTAACACACTTTTCTTTTCCTTCTTCACAGTAAACTGTATTTTTAGGTCAGACATAATGCCATCCAGTTTTAAAAGAAAAAGGCTGAATTTGTACTCTGGAATATAGTATAAATTCAGGAATGGCTCCAGAACAATTCCAGCCCACTTAAACTCTAGCTGATGTGGTGCCTGCTATTCTCATTCACGCACCACTACTACCCCACTCACTAAGGAGACTACTGTTCATCTAATCCTGTAGGGATGCAGCTGAAAGTGTCAAATGGGAAAATAAGTCCTTTTTTTCTATACAGGTAGCTTTTAGTTCATTTACTCCCTTGATATGTCATACTGAGGGGTCAAAGAACCTCCCTAAGCAAAGCTGCTTTAAGCTGTCCTTCAGATGGAACCCTAGAAGGGCAAACAAACACCACTGGAAAAACTCTATTTCGAAAGAGACTGCATGGCTAAGAACTATTAGTAATCAAAAAAGCTAGCAAAAGAAAGCCTCAGTAACATTCTGTTAAAGTCCAAAGTGTTTAATTTTACTCCAAACTGTTTCTGAAAATTGACTATTATTGATAGGGATCCCTTTCCTACACATCAGTGAGAATTTGTTCAAACTTTGAGGACTGTGATGAGCTTGTGGCTACATTTTAAACGTCACTGGGTTCACAGACAGGAAAAGATTATGATTTTACAGCAAAGAAGGTAGACTCCAGAGTTTAACATTTTATGGAAAATAAGTCTATTCTTATATTTCTATTTTTGTGAAGTGTTCCACTTCAAAGGGGTGATTCATCATAAAAGGAATCCATTAAAGGCGTAGTAGTACCATGGATTAATCTTTTCATAGGTTGAACTACTCTCAATAAACTGAATATGGCCATTTTAAGAAAAACAGAGCATATGCCAAAAGTTACAGTCCAAGGAACAATGATAAATTTTCCTAATGCTGAGTGTAGATTGACAATGAAAAACAAATGTGTATTCATGGCTTTTTCCCAGTAGAGATACATTTTGTTGTCAGAATTCACCCCAAACACTTAACTACAGACCAAGTGCATATAGCTTGAGTGACTGTAAAGAAGAGATTCTGCAGACTTATTTTTTACTATTACTATGCTATTTCCATAGCATTCCTCATTAGTAGCTGCACCACTGCTACAAATGTATGTGCCAAACAGCAAGTCTGTTTCATTCACTGTTTTCATTAACTTCAACTTGGTAAAGTAAGTTCTTTGCTCTACCTGTAATTCATTACTCTTCATTACCTGTAATTCATTACTACTTTACTTTGCTTCCCAAATAGAATAAGCACTTGATATTGGAGTACATGCAAGATACATAATTTTAAATACATAATACATATAGGTGATTTATTAATAGGGCAATGATTTGAATCTTTGTCATGCTGAAAAACGTGATTTTCAGTCTTGGTCAAATTTAAGAGCTTTGTCATCTCTTTTCAAAAGTGCTCTGCACCTTTGTGGCATGGTCTAGCAATTCCTCCATTTAGTGTTTCCACCGAAATGACCTCAAACCACGTGCCACTGTCTCTCTCTCCACCCTGCCCCGGTGGTGGGCTGCAGAGGAGAACTGGAGCCACAAAAGGTAACGATTATGGATCGAGGTACCAGAGACATCAATGAAATAAGACAACGAACAGCAACAGCAACAATACCAACAAAGTGTATGAGAAAAGAGGTGAATGATTCACATGGTATTGCTCATTCCAGGAAAACTCCTGAAAATACCTGACCCCTCTGCCATGCTGTGGGACCTGGAAGCAAGCCTTTTGCTCACCCCTGGAAAATGAGGTGAGGTGGTAGAGAACAACCTGAAGCCCTGAAGGCTACCACATTGCTCTCTCTCACAGCTTACTGCTGCTTGTAAATAAAGCTACAATGAAGTCAGAGGATATCAAAATATTTTCATATTTGTAATGTTTAAGTACTACAGGCTTCAAGCTAAAAAAAAGACGAATGAACCAGCATTGCACAGGAAAGCACTATGTGCACATGAGCTAGCTATACCAAAACACAGCTTCTTTTATACGGAAAAATAAATAACACTAAAATGTAACAGCTTCTCAGCCTGGCATTCTAATTATCCCACAAATGTGAAGCATGTAAGCAGACACAGTGGGATCATCACGAATTTCACTTACCAGAGATCAAACTACTGCACCCAAACTCCAAACTTTTGCTGCACCTATTTAACAGTTTACAATCTCAACCATAAGATTAAGAAAAAAAAATCTCCTTTGCCAGCTTTAAATAAATAGGGCTGAGATACAAGCAGTTGTCTCAGTATTCAAAATATGCACTGGGATTTCTATATAGAAGGTAGAAGGACAGCCCAGAAAAAGCAAACTCATTTCACTTATACTGACAGAAGGAAGAAAGCAACAATTTACAAGAAAGACGAGGAGGATAGGCAGGTGTAATACACAAAAACTTTAGCAGCCCTAAAACATGACCCAAATAAACATCCTCCAACACTATGTGCAGTCTTCACAAGATTTGGAACTCTTCTCAAAAGCACGAGTAAAATGGGATTCTCTGCCAGGTTGTGTACACACAGTAAACAATGTGAATTATTTCATACCCTACACCACTGTTCAGGTGTTTGCTTGGCCAGGAAGGAAGTGACTGCATTATCTAAGTTCATACATCTATTCTGATACGAAAAAGCCATGCTGTCCTGAAGCCTCCAGGGGAAATTAGGAGACAGAATTCCAACTTTATTTCTAGATAAACCTTTAAACACTCCCTCACTTGTTATCTGAAGTTATGGTTTAATGGAAAATTTGCAATGGTATCAAAGCTAAAATATATTTTATGTGCTAATTAATGGCTTCTAACCTTTCCTACAAATTTCACTGACTTTTAATTACCTTTTTAGTGAAGGTTTTTCTGATATTCAGGGGAACTGAAAATATACATGACTGAAAAAATTGTTTCACCTTCTGCAACACTGAAAATGCGAAATGATAGAGACCATGTGTCAATGATTTTCTCCTCAAAGATGCTAAAACCCAAAAGTACAATCTGAACCGAAAACAAGTTGAATATTTCAATTCAGAACACAAAGAGATCTCACAGATCTCACCAAGAAGTAGCAAAGAGCAGCACAGTGAAGAAGACAGAATTGTGTCATACAAAAAGCTGAATTTCTCAACCCTCTTTTAACTGTTTTCTTGCATGCCAAAATTTGTACAACATAACAGTGAACCATTTCTCTTAATCTCCTATCAGCAAACATAAGCTTTCAAGTCAGAGATACTGTAGCAAGTTTCCTAATTTTTACTCCATACAGAGTTTTCCATTTTAAATAGAATTCACTAACTAAGGGAGTAAGAAGTCTTCAGATTATTTTAACTTTGATAAAAAGGTAGGAAAGCGTCCATTAAATTAACAACTTTTCCAAATACTTATGCCCCAGACAAGCTATTTGGAAAAAATTTCTTCACAGAAAAGACTGTAAAGGTTGGAATAGATTTCCCAGGGAAGTGGTGGAGTCACCATTCCTGAAAGTGTTCAAAAACCATGTGGATATGGCACCTGAAGACATGATTTAATGGTCATGGTGGTGCTGGGTTGACAGTTGGGACTTACGATGATCTTATGGGTCTTTTCCAATTTCAACACTTCTATGATTTTACATGTTCATTTAGAAAATAACACCTAAGAAACTAAAAGCATTATGAAAAAAAATTTAAATGTTTGCAAATACAATCTTATAACTTGAATTTGTATTTGCTACACACAACAGGGAAAAGTTAATATTGAAAACAAAATATTTTAAATAAATAGATTGCCAAGAACCTTCTTCCTTTCCCATTTACTAGCTCAACAGACTACTTAAGAAAACTGTGCAAAAGTTTCCCTGTAAGATCAGAAACAAACCATCATGTCTCATCTGTGTCCCGTTCAAAGTAATTGCTGCAGCTAAGCAGCAAGAGTACAAAGGACACTATGACTAAACTTGCCATAACAAATGAGAACTTGGAAGAGATGACCAGATTATTAGATATAAAGACTACTACAAACCACTGTTTCTAGAAGCAGTCCTTTGTAAAGAAGGGCAGAGAACACACTGATGACTTTTTTGAGGTACTAATTCTGGAGTTTTTAGATTTCTAGTATTTCTGCTTGCAATCCTGCCTAAAGAGCAGAGATGCTATATTTAACTACCCAATTGTGACCAGATATTTCAATGGAAAAATACATCTTACTTCCTCTAATATTTTGTAACTCATGTTGCCTTTAACTTCTGAGATACAGAAAGAGGCATACCAGTTTTTCTAATGAATATTTGGTGACCTCTGTCTTTCATAACTATGAATAACACAGGAGTTATGAAATAAAAGAGATTTTCTATTAAATTTGAATAGTTTGAACAAAACACTCTGCACCTTCACCACAAAATGACAGAATTCTCTCTCCTAATTCCTTTTTTAACATAATGGAGTGCTCACTCTGATCATTTTAAATGCTGCTCCTTTCTCACATCTTCTAGGAGTTACGCAGGATTCCAGTTATTACAGAATCACAGAATGGCTGAGGTTGGAAGCGATTTCTGAAGGTCTTCTTGTTCAACCCCTCAGCTCCAACAGGGTCACCTACAACCACTTGCCCAGGAGCATGTCCAGATGACTCGAATATTTCCAAGGATAGAGACTCTACAGTCTCTGAGTAAACTGTATCAGTGTTCAGTCACCCTCACAGTAAAAACTCTTTCTTAATGTTCAGAGGGAACCTCCTGTGTCTCAGTTTGTGCCCACTGTGTTCGGTCCTGTCAGCAGATGTAAGTTAGAATACACGAAATTCTATCTAGAATACAAGAAAATGCTTTTTACTGTGAGGGTCGTCAACACTGGAGAAGATTGCCTGAAGAGACTGCAGAGATTCCATTCCCAAAGATGCTTAAAACCCAAATGGACACAGCCCTGTGTAACCTGCTCTACCTGACCCCGTATGAGCAGGGGAATTGGACTAGATGATTTCAGACAGTCTTTTGCAACCTAAAGGACTCTGTGATTTTTTTTATCAGCTGCTGTTAAACAACACTTTCACTAGAAGTCTTTTAACAATTCAGCAAATTGTAAATTCGACCAAGCCAGCTAAAAGAAGGAGTGAGAATATGAATGCTCCAGCAAATCAAAAGAGAATACCTAGGGAAAACATTTGCACTTCATGCTCTTACCAAAAATGAAATGGCTGCAAGATTTTTTGCTAAAGCCCCTTTGCATATCAGTTCCCTAGAACATGCATGATGCCACATGATTTAAAACATACTCTTCAATATGAGATGGTGAAAAATTTGAAACTTTTCCTTTCAAATTTTGAAGTGATTTCAGGTTCTAGGACTTATACTGTTACCTACAACAATAAATAATGAAAGTTTGATTCCTTAGGAAAGGTCAAAAGCTTTACTTTCTAACTCTTCACAATAATCTAGAATCCCTGCAATAAGGATTCTGAATTTTTGACATAATGAGCAAGTCACAAAGCAAACAGAATTACAAATATACTCAAGTGGTTCAGTATCAAGACTCAAAGAAAACTGTGTAACTCTGATAATAAATTCAGTGTCCTATATAAATGAACACTGTATTTGCAAACTGAATTATTTAAGCCCTTGCATAACTGATGAATAAAGAAATATACAGTGTGTCTTGAGCACAGAGATCAAATCCAAGGCTTTTTTTCTCCATAAAGAAGTACTTTATAGAAAATTTCTTTTATACTTCCACAAAACAATACAAAGATATATTAGCACAAGAAATTCTAAAGAAAACTAGTGTAAGAGTCAAAATTGCTGCCAAAATACTTCCCCAAAATTAAGGCACCATACCAAAAGTTACCATTAGAAATTACTAGATAAAACCTGAAAGTAAAATAGAAAAGGTTATACTTAATAGCAACAGAAAACACTACATCTGCAGAGTCTTAAATACATCACTTACTGCTTTGACTCATGGTGACAGACCTCCAGCGTTGGATCGTTATAGATGAAAGCTGCTTCTAAATCATTGACTCTCACTCTGTAAATCCTGCACTGTTTACTGTTCAGCTTGATTCTGTTCAGGTTTGCAACTGTGGGAAATATTGTCAGTTCCACATAACCCTATGAAAACACAAATCAAAATCTTCTGTTAAATCGTTATCAACTCAAAAACTAGAGAGATATAAAAAATTATTACTAATACAATTTTTAAAAATCACTGGTATAAAGATGATATTTTCATATTTAAAAAGGAAAATGATTTGCCCTTAAGATTTTCCACATTTTCTTTCATGCCATTTAACAGGTGAATCTTCACAGCTGTAAATGAAACAGAACAGGAAATTCAATGTGAACTGACAATCATACCTGTTTTACTGGAAAAAATCTGCTTCTATTGACTAGATTTCAAAAGTTATTAGCATCACTATGTTGTATGTTTTGGCATCTGAACTTGAGACAAGGATTCTTAAAACCTAAGCAGAGTCCTTTCAAACAAATGGGTTAACTGACAAAGACTCTTGAAGACTTGAGGCCTGAAATGATGAAAGCCTCTTCAAAGCCCAAGTGAACTCACACACAAGGCAGCACTCTGTAAGCCTATCCCTAACATCAGCTAACACTGTGTGAGCATGAATTTGGAACTGCAAACTGCGCTGTAATATTTACAATGCAGCAGCCTTCATTTAGTAATCTTTTACTAAAAATGCTCACAATTAGAAAGTATTTTATTTGATACATCTCAAGCAATGACAGACATATGAGAAGCATCAGATTAGAAAGTACAACATATGAAGTATCTGAACAGCATAATTAGCTTGTGAGTGCAGTTTTTACCTCTAAAAGCATGAAGAATACCCAGACACTTAACTTCTACTTCACACTTTATTAAGAAATACTTACTACAACAGACTTTCTCTGAAAATTTATGTTGTTGATACAAACTACCTGATGAGTTGTGCTGAAAGAAAAAAAAAAAAAGTAAGGTTTTGCACAAATGCCAGCATTTAAAATAATACTTTAACCCAGTTTAACAGAGAGCCACACAGGATATATGTACATATGGATAAATAATGCAAATAGAATATACTTCTATAAAAATCATTAATGATTATCTCAATCTTTTATGCGGTCTAAATCAAATAATGAATAGAAGTTACCGACAATGTCAGGAAAGTCCCCCAAAAAATCAAACATAGTATCATACCAGTATGAACATTACCAGTAATAAAAAAAAACAGGAAGATAACATAATTTCTGAACAACACTTATCTATATGTAAAATAAAGAATTACAAATGGCAATGCCAAGGTCTAAAAATGTAGTGATGAGCAGGATCAATAACGGCAAGAGCCAACACTTGCAATCAGAGAGCTGTGGAAAGTTTACCTGGGGAGTTGACACTTGTAAATAATTTATATAAGCAGCTATTACACATTAAAAGATACAGTATGGACTGTTACAATTAGCATGCCATAAAAATTTGTAATTTAAAATAATGCCAATACACGAATCAAAATAGGTATTTCATACTAGTCAAATGCATTTGCTTACATTTTGAGTGACGTATTGGAACCCCTGGTAACTAAAACTCTGATTTAAAAGGCAGGAGATAAAGTAATTCCGATTTTAAAAAAAACTGTAATTTATTTCTATGTATTTTCCTATAGTAGGTGTCATCTTCACAGTAGTGTATTTCATGACTCAAGACAAAACCTTGAAATAATTCAACTTCTATGGCACATCACACTTTATCTGCACATATCCTGTGCATTAAGAAGTGAAAGTGCTTCAGATGAAATAAAAAGTTTGATAAAAATTCTTACAATAGACATATCTAAAAATGGATTCGGATGTCACTTACATTTAGTGTATATGAGAAGACCGATCTACTTAAAAATACATTTGTGTAACAGATTTATAAAGGGATCAAGGAGGTATAACAAGAAATCTATTAAAATGCACTAAAATCCACCATCAACTGCTTTGTAGCTTGGTTACAACCCAAGCAGTGAATGTGTGAAGACGATAATTTGCTTAAGAAAGCGGTTTGCTGCAAAGGCAAGCATTTTTTTGTACATAAAAAAGCCCTTAAGTCAAAAGGGCTTCTTGACACAGCAAGTACATATGGAACATCGTAGTCTTTAGTGCGGATACTGTGTGAAAAAGTGTACAAGGTTTGAAGAGCATAATGTAAATATCTTCGTGAGACTGAATGGCTGACAGACTTGCTGCCTATTTACACATTAAAACATACATCTGCAACACGCATTTTCTGAATGCAAGCTACACCACAAGCAACAACTCCAACGTTCTTAAGCAAATCATTATTAATCAGCCTGTGGTCTGATTCAGTGAGCATTGGTTTCAAGTATAGCAATTTTTAAAAAATAGATACTTATAATTTATAAGGTCTTGGGCTTTCAAATCCTTTGTCTCCTTTCTTCCTATTCATCCTGAACCGCAGCACTAAACACACACTGCTGACCGTCACACTGGCATCAACATCATCCTCACTCAACGGGTCCTTCGAATTTTCCCCGGGTCACGCCGTATGTGATCACTCATCTCCTCAGCGGCTGCGTGACCCCCAGCAGTCCGGAACTCCAGCCCGAGTGAGCACCATCGTTACAGCACCACCACCAAGTAGTGTTTGTACATAACCTTCTACGGGTGCACGCAGCCCCTCTGTCCGCTGGGGTTACGGAACCAGTCCAGAGGCGGTTCCTCTCCGCGGGAAATACGGCAAACAACCGGCTCAGCGGGCAGCGGCGGCGGGAGCGACGGAATCAGCAGGGCCGCGGCCAGGACGGCCGGGCAGGCACCGCGGTCCGCGCTCCTGGGAGCGCCGGCTGGGGATGCACCGTCCACTGAGAGCCGGGAAAGGTGCGGAGGATCGAGCGGGCCGGGCGGTGGCCGGGCCCGGGGCAGGGTCGGCCCCGCGGGTCTCCCTCAGCAGCGCGGCCGCCGCAGCTCTTCCGCAGCCGCCGCCATCTTGCCGGTCACCTCCGACCCCGCGGGTGAGGGGTCACGGCCCGATTCACTGAGCTCTGTCGCTTTAGCCGGAAAGGCTTTTGGAGTTTTGGTTTTTACAGAAGGGCGGCTCAGCGGCGGCGGCAGCCGGAGAAAAAAAAAAGAAAAAGAAAAAAAAGAAAAAAAAAAANAAAGAAAATAATCCAAAAGCGGAGAGGGGCCGCGCCGCGTCCCCGTGCGCAGGCGCGGCAGCTCGCGCAGGCGCGGGCCTGGGGAAGGCGGGAACGGGCGGCGGAAGCGAAGGCGAGTCGGGAGTCCGGCTGCCAGCCCCGCTGTCACCGCTGGGAGGAGCAGGGGACGCGCGATAACGTTCCTTAGTAACCGAGACTGTTCCAAGTAACTTTACAGTCATCTAGTTTAGGTTAAAATAAATGCGTAATTTCATTTCGAATGTCTTAACAAAGCCAGGCAGGAGGACTGAACACATTTAATGATAACACACACAAAATTAATTTAAACAAACTCTTGTCACGGCTGTAATAAAGCTCTATTCATTAAATACTTCATTTCTTATTTGTTTTACAAAGAAACCCCTATGTAAATACAAACTTGGACCACAACATACAAAAGTAGCAATTGTGTTATGCATTTTAACCAAGGAGCCTTCTGTGATGCAATGGAAGGAATTCCCAAGGCTTTTCCATTGCTATTGCCATTGATGTCTGGGAGTGAACCTTCTGGTGCTATTGGGGGACCGCAGCTGTGGGAACCAGACAGCAAACAAGGCAGCTCTTCCCAGCAGAAAGCCACTCCGCGTCTCCACACAGCTGGTCAGACACCACAGCCCTGCACCAGCAATGTGCAGCACAGGGCACTGAATTTGCAGCAATAAACAGAACTCAGGAAATAGCTTTTATTCAGCTTTTTATCTGTATCAAATTCCAAGTACACACACTGCATCTTAAGAGTAACATCTGATTTAGAAGTTTCTCTTCTCTCCGCACTCATTCTACAGCTGGAATGCTGGTAGTTCCAATGTGTTTCATACCTCACATCTGAGTCTGATGGAAAAAATGCTTTGTATCAAATAACCTACAACTGTTAAGTTTAAAATATAAATCTGAAAACTACCTAATATTAAACTCTGGTTTACTGACATGCAAACAATCCTTTTTAATGATTACAAAATTACCATCTCAGGCACACCACTTCATGGCTGTATCATAAAAGCATCCTGTTTCATTGCTCTACACAGAACAATTTATTTGCCATAACTAAGTTTTAAAAAAATAATTGTACTACAAAGTTTTGTAGGTTCTTTTTAAAATAGCTCAAGTAGTCTTCTATAAAGCATTAGTTTTACCTCAGCTACATTTTAATGACAGTTTATAGGAAATTTGTAACACAATATCCAACTACTCTCTTATATTCACACTTCACTGCAATTATATTTTTAAAATATATATAAGGCTATTCTGCCAAGTATTAAAAAGTGTCAGGTGCTTGTGCTGATGGTGTTCATAGACGTGACCTTAAAAAGAACCACTTTTCAAAATCAAGACTGGTGTAATCTCAGTGCAGAATGATTTGTTCATGAGCTTGATGAGCTCTGTGCTATTCAAAATGTGAACACTGCATTGAAACTTTAATCGTTAAGAATGGCCACTAATGGGCAGAAGACTAAAATTTCCATTTTGCTATTCAAATCAATTCAATTGATTTGAATTATTATCAAGGAGGTTTTAAATTTTCATTCCAGAATTACGGATAAACAGATTAAGCGTATTCAAGAAGTAGCTTGGCTCCTGGCTTAGCTAGACATAAAGGAAAAAGAAGTTGGGCAAAAGAAGGTTGGCAAAGGAAGATGAGCTGAATATCATTCCTTAGAGGCCACAAGTGCCAGTGCCCTCACACTCTCCTTAGCTGAGCAGAAAACACAACTTGTTCAAGTAGTGTAGCTGCTTAAACTCCACTGTATAATGATGGTTGGCAACTCTCTTCCCCGGAAGGCAGCAGCAAGTAACATTCACTGTTACTACATTCAGTATCCTCAGTTCTTCAAACAGAACTTGCTACGAGATGGGTCTTCTAGAATTAAAAACTTTAACACCATTCAGCATTGAGGAGCGAGCATATTTTGTCAGAAGAGCACCAACGGTCTGCTTCTCTGCACACAAATCTCTAAAGAGGAAATAAAGCACATGACATTGGCACTGAGAGATACTTGCACACAAAACGAATCTGTAAAATATTTGTAACTACAGCAATAAACTGGATTGAATTATTAGGTAAAAGAACCTGAACTATTGTAACTGTCACATAATGCTTTTAATTACCTAAAATTTAGAACTTACCATGACATTTAAGCACTAGGCAAAACTACATTACATACTTCAGAAAAAAGAATTTTGGGGTTTAGGCAGAGTTTTTATTATTACTATTCTCTAACAGAATTTTCAATCTAGCAAAACAGTCAGCTCTGAACTGTTGTATTCAGTTATATTACAGTAAATTTAGAGCCACTTATAAAGGTTTGATGCAGTTTTGGGTTAGCATCAATACACGCTCACATATATCACAGCTGGACATTCCAGATAGTGCAGCAGTGTAAATCTTACACCAAAGGAACAAAGGACGCAGTACAGGAAGCACTATTGCTCTATAGTTCTAGTGTTGTAAATTTAGAAAATTCATTGTGAATGTCAGGAAGGTTAGCCTTTGAATTGTCTGCCGTAATGAAATGAGAGTTATCACTCATTTAAATCCAGACGGATCAGCTTTTCACAAACATTTAAATCCAAGAAAAGAGAGTTACAGATCCCAGAAGTGGGTATTCTATTCATATAGAATCCATGTTAATTAAAAATGCAAAGTATAGTAGTATCACTGAGGCAGTAATAGCTTATCAGAAGCCAACTATGCAAAACGGGAAGAATATAATACTAATTATATTTCAATAAAAATAAATACATCCTTACTGTATGTAAGGGGTAATATCCACTTCTGTCCACTTTTCCCGTATGCCAAATAAGCTGTTGAATCTTTCCTGATTGTCTTCTGGTAAGTCTTCTACTTTTAGCAGAAAAATGGTCTCTGGTCTTGAACTTTTATCCACAAGAGCCAAGCCCTGTAGATCAGCATCAGAAAGGAAATGTTAAGTACTGACAAAACAATTAAACTTCCTTCTTTCTGACAATATTCCATACAAGTTTCTCTTTGCAGATCCAAAGCCTTCCAGAACTGCACTACCAGAGGCGAAGTGAAGAATTATAATAAAGGTGCTGTTTCACAGGCAGTATTTATAATTTCCTTTATGACAAGAAGGAAGGGAGAATCCATTGGGTTCCAACATCTCTCTGCCTGCTTTGAGCTAAAGGATTCCCATAGTGTTTACTACTCTACTGGCTGTCACTACCATCTGTTCAACAACAGCTTCAGCTTCTGTTCCAGTCACATTTAAAAGCAGTAACAGTACAGCTGCAACCTTTTTTCAAACAGTGAAACATGCCTGACTAACAGAAACCTGAATTATCATGATTGCAGACTACTGGTGCTCATAGAGGACATCATAAACTGTCCTTGTACTCAAAAGCTGACAGAAACAATACCCAATAATGAATAAAATCTATATATGACACAAGTCAGTTACTACTACTGTATTACACAGTCAGCCTACTCACAAAAGAATCCACAATTCTTTATGTGTTTACCTGAAGCTGATCAAGCCTTGTTGTCATCCCCTCAGGGACACTCTGTTGCCAGACTTCTTCAAACTCTGATAGATTGAATTTAACTGCATTTTGCAAAAGCATTTGTGCTATAGCTCTGCATATTTTATCTTCACGCATTTCAAAGAAAACTTCCCCTGCTGAGAAGGAAAAACTAGGTTATCTTAGGTTCTTGCCTTTTGATAAGAGAACACCCTTGTATTTTCATTCTTTTCTACAGTCTTCTATACACCAAGCATCCTGTTTTTTCTTTTCCTTGCGAAGTAATGTGACTTGGTATTAATTTGGATAAATTACGGTATCTTCTCATTCTCAAGAACAAATTATGCAGAATACAGCAGCACTGTCTCAACTACAGTATTAATTTGTATCCATAAATGTGTTTGCCCTCCATGTTCTTCCCTTTCACAGTGTACTGTTTCTCCTACAGCTCTCATTCCTATTTCTGAATGGCTTGTATTAGAGCATTTGCTTAAACAATTAACAAAATTTTCACTTCTTTAATCACCCTTATGAGATTATGAAGACATGAGACTTCATTTTCTCTCACACTGACTTGGCTAAAATTCTCTGAACCAAACTACATATAAACACTTCCTTCTATTGTTTCAGCCACCTGCCTGTAACTCAGACTTGTTCCTTGTGCAAACTGCCTAACTGTATTAAGACAAGAGTCGGTTGTCACTCCAATTACTTTCCCATGTCCTTTGAGTGCAATTCCTACTTCAGATGAAGGTGAGATGAAAGCCACTGTGGGGAAGAATTCAGACTGAGATTAGGGCAGTGCAGTATTATATCTGTGTGTGAGATGGACAATGAAAATCTAATCAGTACAACAGGCAGATCTTGTGGTGCAGTTCAAGAGATCAAAGGCAAATACCTACTTCAGGCAAGCTGAATTCACCACTGACTACTCATAATAGCACAATTAATTGCTTAAATATCTGAGATCTTCTAGGCTATCTAAAGAGATGTTATCTAAATTTTACTGGTGACCTCTCTTTAGTCACGAAATTATGGCTTGTAGACACCTAATAAATCACTTCCAGTACCTCTGTTCACAATTGTCTTGTACAGTTTAATAGTCTTTTTTTCCTATGAAACTTCCTTTAACAATTGTACTGATTTTTAGCCCAGTTTGCTCCCTCCTTGTACTGGCACTGTAGCAAACTCATTTGTTTGGGCCATTCTTCACAAAAATCTACATTTCCTCATTAGTAACTATTTCTTTTATGCAAAGTTAAGCCACGTAAACTTTCCCAAACTTACCATCATCAACATATTTCCTGCCATAGCTTAAAAGAATGTGTTCTATCATCTCTCTGGAAAAAAAAAATATCAGAAATCAAGTTCTAATACTGTTTCCTAGGACACTATGGAAACCATTACCACAAATATTAAGAAACAGATATGGAGCAAAAAAAATTTAAAAAAAAGGGAATAGATGATGAGACATTTTTGTGGGGAAATGAAGAAACTGGTAAAAAATAGAATAAAAGTGAGAACAAAAGGGGACAAATAACAGACAGGAGCTAATTTATCCTGCCAACTCCAAAGGTCTCTTCCACTTTCTAGTTATAGCCAGCAAATAAAATGTCCCTATAACTTAGGGACATGGTTCAGTACTGGAATTGGCAGTGGTGGGTTAATGGTTGGACTCAATGGTCAATGTTTTTTACCAGCCTGAATGATCCTATGATGCAAGTCAAAAATCTGGCAATTAATTATCCCCTACTGAATAATAGGCACTTTTCTGAAGCTCTGTCATAAAATTATATCCTAACTGCAGATACCTTTTTGAGCTAAAAGCCAATTAAATGGAAAATGCTACATATTGTAAACTTAAAAGGCTTTCTTGGAATGGTAATTCTGAATTATACCAGAAAACATACCCCCCCCCAGCTAGTATGCAATAGGTAAACCAAACATTTTAGGTTAGCTATAGCTTCAGAACACATATTTCAAGATGCTCAGCAATTTGCAACTTAATTTACAACTTAACATGCTATTTCCATAATTTACAACTCAGAAGTAATTCTTCTACTATGAATCAATGGAAATACTACCAATAAACACTAAAATAGTTTCCTAACCTATCTGCCTAGAAATTTCCTTGAGTATTTTTAGAAATGAAAATATATCATTTACATCATGATAACTAGAATCTAGATTTGCAAGACTATAATTCTAATAGACAGTTAACAAGTACTGTAATTACTACTAGTGAGTAATGAATGTGGGCAATTTTAAGTACTAAAAATAATTGTTTACCTGGGTTCTAGAGATCCAAGTTCTTCAAGGCAGGCACACAGAGGAACCTTACTGAAAGGCCAGGACTCTGAATCTATTAGCTGAGTCACATGACTCAAGAGTTTCATCTCATAGTCAAAGTCTAGGATTCGCCAATATCCTACCAAAGAGAGCACGACAAAACACTGTTAGAAGAAAAATATTAACACCTTAATTCTATTGCCATTAAGATACATTACTGGAGTCTGGACATTCAGGTCACACCTTTACAACATGCAGCAGCAACACTGTGTCCTTTTCAGGATTAAAAGCTGAGAAAAGGAACTAAATAATATCAGCAAATATAAAGGAGAATGAAACAATCATCTCAATTTTTTGTAATTCTTTAACCTCAGTAGATGCAAAGACACTACAAATATCACTCCAAGATTAATCAGATGTGGAAAAACTAATATTTAGTTCAGGAACAGAACTGCATGAACTGGCTGCATTGCCCCTACAAAGCAATAGAGAAGTTCACAAAAATCCTGTCATTTCAGATGACTCTAGGACTGCTATGACCTTGTGTCCCAGTGAGGTTTGGGCATGGCCAAGTAAAAGATGAGTAGGACCTGTCTCAAGGTGAGGTACTTACTCAAGCCTTTCCTCCTATGTTAGGAAGACACTGAGATAAACCCAGTCTGGGAGGAAGAAAGGACTATGAAAAGGATGGGGTTACCTAAGAATCACCTATTTTTGCTGAAAGCAGCACCCACTCATTCACGAAGAGGGTGATCAGCTAAAAAATATTCATGCTGTGGGTGAGATACTCTGATGCCAGTGTTTGTAGCAGCAAGGATGGAGTTATCCTGGAAAGAGAGAGACTGGCAGTGCCTGCTCAGCTTTATCCTTCTGATCAGATTCATAGCAGCAGAGGACATGGATCTATGGAAACAAGTGTTAGAGCTTTGAAGTAACTTGCACCTTGAAAGACGAGGATATGGAATGGGCCTTAGAAAAAGGAGACATATATTTTGGGGAAAATAGCAGTTATTTCCTCATAGATAAATAATATTCTTTAGATATGAATACCTTCAATTTTGCAGGCATCTATAACCTGCAATTGGTGGAGTATTTCTTCTTCACTTGCTTGAATCAGACTTAACAAATCTTCTGTTGTATACTGCAACAAGGGGAAAAAAGGAAATAAAAGAGGTTATTCTTACTCCTTCTTTGCTTCAGCAACCACACTAAATGCATTATAAGCTATAATGAAGGAAAGACTTAAGATAGATGTTTTTCCCTCCAGACTCCGAATTTTCTAAGGTTTGCCACACTCTCTGAAACTTTTCCTTTAACTTAAATTGTTTTCTCAAAGGGTTATTCAATGTAAAAGGCAGTCTAACTACAGGAAAGTCTTTGTACCAGGCATAAGTAATAACGTATTTGTATTCCCAAAATGTCACACTAGCACAAGCACACCTTGTAAGTCAAGTATCCCAACAAGAATGAAAAGTGAATGTGTTCTTGCTTTCCTGAAATCACGTATTTTAATCTGTGAGATTCAAAGAAAAGGCAAAGCAAGAATCACTTATCACCTTTGGAGAGAAGTTGGAACCTGCACTTAGCACCTCCACTGAAGGAAAGCCTCCTCCACCATGACCTCAGCAGTTACATGTTGTGTTTTGGTGTCTGCTAATCAATTGGCACACACACAGCACAGACCCAGCCAAAACACAAACACCTCCCTGCAAACAGTTATGTGATGAGATGGGAAGGTGCTGTGAGATACTGTGGTGAAGACGTGGGTGAAACAGAAGTTATCATGAGGAGTGAAGTAAATGGAAGAAATATCAAACTTCAATGCACAGGAAATAGGACATCAATTCATTTATTCACATTAGAGACTTTTTAATCAACTCTAATATTAAAGTTCTGTTGATTATAGCTCAAGAATATTTCCTATCAGAAAGAAAACATTGGATTAAGTCTTGGATTGAGATCTATCAGACTATGGGGAACATACCAACTCTAAGTTTGGAACAGCCACATATTAAAAAAACATTTAATAAATACAGAAAGGCCTCCATTTCCTGCTGTGCTATTCCTATCAGAGTATGTTGAAATATCATCAGGCCAAGCTCCCATCAGAATGTCAATGAGGGATGACCCTATTATACAGTACTTAAAAAAAAACCCCACTGCTAGCAATTGAGAGCAAAAATATCCCCAAAGCAGTATATGTGTTAAAAGTTCAACGCTGCCATTCAGATGCCTTGCACACAAGTCCTTGGCACGTGTTTCTGCTGTGAGGCCAGTGCAGCAATCCCAACAGCTTTCTCGAATACATCACTGCTCTCAGCTCTGATGCTTTCATCAGCTGCACTGCCCTTGCAAACATAAAATGGAATGCACCATGTCCACACCAGCAACTTCCAGATATTGTATATAGTATGTTTTTTGTCCTTTTTCTTTTCGGATGTCTATGATCATCTGAATATGCCCTGTTATTTCACTGTAAAATTCAGTACTAGCCTACGTATTTGTAAGCTTTCCTCTAGTTTGCTAAATCACAACACTATGCAACAGGTTTCCTACAGTGCCATAGATCTTTATGGCTCTTTTGCTGGGGTTCTCTGCCTATGATATAGTCCTGAAAATCATGAGACTTAGCTTACAGTAAACAAAAGAAAGTAATTTATTTTCAAACAGATTAGAGGTGGCCTATTAGTTCCCAGCACACGATAAATGTTAAGTGTAAGCAAACAAAACAGTGGAAATCATTGTTTCCTACACATTCGTTGTTTGGGATTTCAGTGAGAATTAGTCCCACAGGAAAGAGTTTTCCCCTGGAGAGCTTTCAGATTCATTTAGGAGTTCCACCAGAGGCAATCCAATGATCTACATGTATCAGATATATCTAGTTGTTATCCAGACAGTTTCCTTCAAAAATAAATGGCAATCAATCCTCAAACCAGGCATTAACATTTGGGAGACACTGACATCTTTTTAATAATACTCAATATTATGAATAAATATTATTTCATATGACTTTTTTATGTTGCTAGCCCTTGACAATGCTTAGAATTTTCAGACCATTTAAGCCCTTTAACCTTTGCCATCCTTCATTTTGCTGTATGTCCTTCCAGATCAGCACAGTTAGGCAATTCTGGGGGCAATATTCTGTAATTAATCAGAAATCAGCCTGTTAATCATCCAAGAAGAGAGAGGCATCATGTCTCTAGAGAAAAGTAACATCTGTGTTTGCACATCCAAGCACATGCAGATGGTTGTTGGTATCAGCTTCAATCAACCCTCAGCATAATATACTTGGGAACAATTACTTTTTGGTTTTAAACTCAAAAGAAAAACCAACCAAATTAACAAAATCCCAGAATTTTTATCAGCCTTTTTATCTGAGATCATATGCTACACAGTCGACATCTCCCCATTATTCTTTAGTTCCCACATGGAATTTCCTGGAAACATGGTAAGACAGCAGGACAGGATTTCATTTGTGATTTCCCTTCTTTTAGTGTGTCTTATGCCATGCCTTATATAATCCCTGTTACTCTTTTCAATTCCCTTCTCCTTGTCATCACTAATTGCTGATTGGAAAGCAACTCACACATGGATGTGCTCTGACCTCATACATGACAGGCTGCATTATTCCTTAGTAGTCGTGTAACTCCCAAGAAATTTAGTAAATATTCTGAAGGCTGTCCTCCAAGAAACTTCCCATAGGAAAAGGGAAATGCCCAGTCTCCTTCCATGTCCTTTATTTTCCTCTTTTAACTAATAAAAAGGTTGCTCACCTGTACTCACTGGAAGTGCTAACAACAACCAAGTTGTTTAGAATGGAAGGGCTAAAAAATTAACTCAAAGAAATACTGTGAATCATGTGAAGAAGGGGATTTTTCTACTTAAGCATGTATCTTCACTTTAATTTGCTCATTACCAATTACAAGGAAGCAATTTACACAGCTGATTTACCTTTGAAAATGTTGAAGTCTGATCTTTCTGACTATCAGGCCCTTCATAAGGATCTTCCATTAAAAGCTTCCTCAGTTTCTTCAATTTTGGTCGACATCTCCTTAATTCCCAATAGTTCTTGGAGAAACCAGCAACCTACAAAAGAAAACAGTGACTCTTTAAACAATGTAGCATCTGGATTCAAAGCTGCTTACCAAAAATTATCAGCAAGCAGTGTTAATCTTAGTCACTGAAAACAATAAACTATTAATAGGTTAATTACTTTAAAGACAAAACAATCATTGCAATGTTTTCAATTAAAAAAAATTACAGTAGACAATGAAGAATAAAAATCCACTGTTGATTGATTAAAAATATGTTCGTAGTGCATAAGACAAAGGTAACAACTCAACTCTGCATGCAAATGACAGGAACTTACCACGGGATATATTTCTGCACAATTCCCCTCAAAACTTCTTTTTGTCCTAACAGTAAATTAACCAGTGTCTATCTTCCCATGCTTGGGATCTGCTTCATGGTCTTTTTACACCTTAATGAATCATCACAGCCCAAAGCTCAAGCAAAGCAGACATTAACAAGGGCAGAAAGCTGCACTTGCACACAACTGACAAGACATCTCTATCCCTTGCCCTGAGTCAACACACAAATAAAGACTACACAACAGGAAGCTCGGCTGTTCTTGATTCAACAACACTGACTTACCAAAGCTTTACTTTCAGAGTAATCATGAGGGGTTTCATGGGGTACAACTTTGACTTCCTGCAAGATTCTTTGAAGAGGAAGGACTATTGGAGGCCTTTCAGCATCATTTCTGCTACTCACCAAACTGACAGAAACGGGAACAGAATCACAGAGGCAGAACAGGCTCCAGCTTAGTGACTCCTGACCCAATCACTAGTCCCATGTTAAAACAGCTTCCACGAAAAAGCCTCTAGACAGTAATTTAAAATACCCTACGTGCTTTACCAGAGTACTTGGGGTATTTTAGAAGTCCTCCATCCAAAAAAACAACAACAACAAAAAACCACCAAAAAACTAAAACTTTAAAATAATCTTCCATTTAAATCAACTATAAGCAAAACCGCCTATACATAGAAGAAATTGTATACAAATTCTAATACACAGAAATCTCTCAATTTTAATCTATTACATAACTGGCTTGGCAAAAAATTTAGCTAAACACCAATTTCCTGATAAACTCCCAGGCTTCAGGTCAATTAGCATTTACTTAAGTGCTTGGCTTTTTTCCTTCCAAGTTGTCTTCTGATGAATTTGGTAATAAGTAGATACTCTGCATAGAAAATAAATAATTCTAATTAATATTCCAAAGTTCATAGCTTGAGCTGAGCTGTGTGAGATGAATAAAATGACAGATGCTTTGGCTGTGAGTATCAGCTGTGCAAGTCATAAAAAGATCAGCACCAAAACTACAAATGAAGGGCACTGAAGCCCCAAAGTACTGAGTACACATGGTATGTTTGCTGTGTTTCACAATTTGCAGTGTCAGTGAACCATCTAACATTAATAATTTTGAGAGCTCTTAGAAATAAAGCTTTTTAAATAGTTCCTAAACAAATCACATTTCTATGATGTGTAACTTCACAGGAATAGTTAAATTATTAAATGTAGCAAAAAAAAAAAAAAAAGTATGTGTAAGAATATTATTTTTTCATTAAACTGCTTCAGCTTGAATTAACTTTTTACATTAGGTCATTAGACCTCCTGGAAGAACTGATGCTGAAGCAGGATTATTCCTCAATGACACCATTATGTCCATTACAGCAAATAATTAACTAATATTTGCCTAGCTGTTTTTATTAGAATTTTATTAACTATGCTTCAAGAGGGCAGAGAACAATGAATTTTAAACTGAGAACTGTAAAATCATTCACTTTGATAAATGTTTTGATATGCTAATTGAAAGAGCCACCTTTGAATACATTTCTATATTAAAAAATTGTATTCAGACACAACATGGTGAAATCTCCTTTTTGGGGAAAGCACTCCTAAAAATCAACCTGTAAATAGCTTACTTTAAAAATAGTTGCTAACACTGAGAAGTAAGACTCTCTTTGCAAGCTTTTAATATCTACCACAAGTCATTACTATGCACGGAAAATAAACCACAGTTTTAACTTCTCGGAAACAATAATAATCATACATTATGGACAAAGTTCAGCTGCCTGAAGGAAGAAGGGCTCTAAAGTCATTTTGGACACCCTAAGGCATAGCATGGACCTATATAAAAAGCATATTTATAAAGACATCTTCCTGGAACTGGTCAATACACAAAGAAGCTACAGGAGACTCATCCTTTCTGCAGTGGCAGCCTGCAGTAGTGGCTAAGCAATGCCACAGGGCATCTAAAATGGCATTAGAAGCCTATATTTAGGCAACTGAATCCCAGCTGGGTTTCACATATGCATCTTGGACAAAATATAAGAAATTACAGGGAATAAGAAAGAAGATAATTAAAGCAAACAAACAAAACTCCTGAAAGACATACCTGTGAATAAATAATATTACACGATGCTGGATCTGCATTCAGTTCCTCTGGAGTTTTGCAGCCAGGAACAAACAGCAGCATATTTGAGGTATCTGCTATTTTCATGTCATAAGTTTTATCTTTGCTGCACAACACTGCATGTTCATCCTTTTCACCACGGATCACTAAGCTGGGAAAAAAAAAAAACAGAACTGAAATAATGATGATCACAGGGGAACATTCAGTTCCTCCCAGGGTACATACATTAACCTAGGTGCTCAGATTCAGTTTAATTAAACTGCTCCTCTTGTTTCCCAAAGCCCGCATGCATGAACAAAGCTCAGCTGTGCCACCAGGGATCAACACGACTCAGGCCTCTAACAGATAATACTTTATCAGTATTGCACTAAATAGGAATGGGCTTACTAACATACAGAGTACATCTGAGTACTACCTTCTTTAGAGAGACTTCTCATTTTGTATCACTTTGAAGATTTTCCTTATGTCACTGGCATTGCAGTAAAGGAAGAAATTTAAGACAGTATCAAAACCTTATCTAGAACTTGCTCTTGGTCCAGAGTTTGGTGTCACATAATCATCCTGCCTTATGCCCATGCTAATACTGCACATCCTTCCCTGCCAATTTGTCTATCTTGTAGGCACTCTCACATCCATCAGACCTGGAGAGTTCTAACAGGAAAATCTCAAAGTCAGCAGGATTCTTTTAGAGACATAATGTCTTTTCTAAACCTGTATTTCTGATTACAGAATCATAGAATATCCCGAGTTGGATAGGACCCACAAGGATCACTGAGACCAGCTCCTGGCCCGGCACAGGACTGCCCAAATAATCACACCATGTACCCGACGGCGATGTCCAATTGCTTCTTGAACTGTGGCAGGTTTGGCGCTGTGACCGCTTTTTGGGGAGCCTATTTTCCAGCATCTTCTGAGTTTTGTTTAGAAGTCTCCACAGCAAGAAGTTTTCCATTAACAAAAGAAACACCAAAACCCCACGCTTCTTGTAAGTGTAAATAGTTTTTAGTTTCCAGTGTAACTGAGACAGGTTTAAGGGATTTAAGGGGCAGTTATGCAAACCGCATCACAAGAACCCAAGTGCGGACTAAGCCCCGTTCCCGCGTTTCCCCGCGGTTCGCTCCCCCCGCGCCCGCCGTACCTGCGGCCCGCCTCCAGCTCGGCGCACAGCCCCGGCTCCAGCTGCAGCAGGCAGCACTCGCCGCCGCCGGCCTGCGGGCCGAAGCTGAGGCAGTGCACGGCCGGCAGCAGCTCCGCCGGGTTCAGCTTGGCCGTCTGCAGCGTGGCGTCCACCTCGGCGCGGCTCCGCATGGCGGCCCCGGCCCGCTCCGAACCCCGCGCCACGGCCTCCATCCCCGCCACGGCCTCCATCCCCGCCCCGGCCCGCTCCGAACCCCGCGCCAAGGCCTCCATCCCCGCCCCGGCCCGCTCCGAACTCCGCGCCAAGGCCTCCAACCCCGCCCCGGCGGGGCCCGGCCCGGCCCACGGGGCGGTGGCGGAGGCGCGCGCAGCCTGCCTGGATTCCGCGGGTGGCGGACGGACGGCAACGGCTCGGGGTGGTACCGGGAGGAATCTCCTCTCTCTTCTTCCTCCGCCGGGTCTAATCTGGGACAAACCTCCCTATTTCTGGCTGGCTGCACAGGGGCCGCGCTGTGCTGCGGTAAAATCGCTTGTTATGCCAAAAGTGCAATAAAAGTCTACAAAACGCGCAAAACTAAATAAAATTACAAAACATTGCAAAAACAGGCCCAATATAGAAGTCACTGCCCGGCTCTGAGGCAACATAAAATCATGGACGTGTTTAGGACGGAAAAAGCTTCCAAGATCAAGTCCAACCCTTCATCCAGCACTGACAAATCCAGCACTAAACCATGTCCCGAAGTGCCACACCTCCGTGTCTTTTAAACTCCTCCAGGGATGGTATCTCCAACACTTCCCTGGCCAGCCTGTTCCACTGCTTGATCATCTTTTCTGTGAAGACGTTGTTCCCAATATGCAATCTAAACCTCTGCTGGTGCAACCTGAGCCCACTTCTCTCATCCTGTTACTTCTTAGCTGGGAGAATTCCTGCCTGGCTACAGCCTCCTTTCAGGGAGTGCTGGTGACGAATAAGGTCTCCCTTGAGCCTCCTTTTCTCCAGGCTAAACAGCCCCAGCTCCTTCAGCTGCTCCTCACCTGAGTTGTGCTCCAGACCCTTCCCCAGCTCTGTTGCCCTTCTCTGGACACACTCCAGCCCCTCAGTGTCCTTCTTGTAGTGAGGGGCCCAGAACTGGACACAGGATTTGAGGTGTGGCCTCACCAGTGCTGAGTACAGGGGGACAATCCCTGCCCTGGCCCTGCTGGCCACACTGTTTCTGATTCAGGCCAGGATGCCATTGGCCTTCTTGGCCACCTGGGCACAGCTGGCTTATGTTCAGTCACTGTCAGCCAGCACCCATTTTCCACCTGACAGCTTTCCAGCGGCTCTGCCCCAAGCCTGGAGCATTGCTGTGCCACTCTCAAAGTTTTTCCTCGACACCAGAGCATGACAGCAAGTGTGGCGAGAGGGAGATTGAGTGTCCAAACCACCACAATGGGGCCTGATCGTGGGTGGGAAAGCACTGCTGAGGCAGCTGCCACCACTGGCGTCACTCACCCGAGGTCCTTCTGTCCTTCTGGGGACAGTCTGACCGAGGGCAGCTATCTGCAGGTTCTCATCCACACATGACCCCTTAGGAAAGGGCTTGCACAGCCTCCACATGGAGGTTTGTCTCCCCGTGACTCAGGGCTCAGCTCAGGTTCTTGCAGGCCTGATGGGGCTGTATCTGCCAGAGGAAGCTGTGAGGAAGTGCTTGAGCTAAAGCCCTAACATAAATGAGTGGAAACCACAGGCATGCACAATGATTGCAGTGGAAGTAGTCTGCAGCTCAGAGATTCAAGGGGAAGTCTATTGACGTCCTTAAACCATAAGAAGAAAACAGAAGTGGAGGCTCAGAGCATAGCAGCTAAGCAGCAGAGGGAGTCAGACTTCTGCAAGGAGCAGCACAGGATGCCTCTTCCCTGCCTTGTCCAGACAACTGGCTCTTCAGATACTCACTGACTTTTGCTGCAGGGTGTATTAACTCTCAGCGTGGTAGTGTGTTAGCCCTAGCTGCCTGCTGTGTGCATCAGCTAACAAAGAGTTAGTTACTCTATGCTCCTAAGTTATGTCTAGCCACTTGCCAAGTATCTCTGTGCTTGGTACAGATGAGGAGCTCCTAACCCCTTCTATGTGAGAACCAGAAGCAGGAGCTGGTAGGATGAAGGTGGCTTGGTTCAGTCCCAGCCCGGCAGAGACCAGCTTGTTGTATGTGACTGAGTCAGGCATCTTCTGCCTTCAGAAGGTGGTGCCTGAGTGGTGTTAGTGAGGCAATTTGCCTTGGAGAAAACTTCGGCTGAAGTTATTAGGTCATCACCTCTGTCACAGCACGTGCAGTGCCTTGTTCAAACATTCAGACATCTATCATGTTTTCATGTTTTATTTCAGTTATTGGAAGGTGGAAATGCCATCATTGTGCATACAGGAAACCAGAGACACTCCAACTTTGGCCGGTTTCTACTAATGCATAGGTGCAAACTGATATATGCATAGCCTTATTTGAGATTTACACTTTGCTTTAATGTAAATCTCTTCATGCACACCTCTCAGGTAAACCAGAAAATCACTTTTTACCAAGTAAATAGTTACTAACTGAATAGCAGCTTATTTGTGCTAGCTTTAATTTATATCTTAATTTGTGCAATTTTCCAATGACCTTGCGCACCTGCTTTTTCTTCTTTCTACCTTTCGTTCTGTGAAATAAAAAAAATTCTAGTGTAGCCAAGAAACTGAATCCAAGGCATAGGTTCGTGGAGTTTGCATCTTAAGAGATGTGCTATGTAACAGAAACTCAATAGGAATTAAATCATTGGATGTTATTCAGCAGTCGGCATTGATCTGTGGTCAGGAACATTTGTAGTAGTTATTAATTTTTCTAATCAGGTTTTTTTATCCTGGTAGTTCTGGCTGAAGATGCTTTTTATATTTTTTATATATATATTTTGGAACTGAAATGTATATGCTTGTGCTGCCTGCCATCTTTCTCTGCCTGTCCCTTGTTTACCCCTCTGGAAGTTGCTGTTCAAGGTCAAGCAAATTTGGCAGGTAAATTTCCTGGAATTTTGATACAAATCAGTGGATGGATGATATATTGAAGCCCCTACTTGAGGGAATGCTGCTCTGATCCATTCTAAGAAGCCATGGGCCTATCACCAAATACATGGGCATAAATCTATGGAGATGTCTCATTTCTCAGGAAACAACTGGTATGATGAATCTGTTTTCACTGAGATTGCTTTAGAGCAGTGACCTGGCAAAAACAGGTTTGTCTAGGACCTTATGTTGGTTTCTTGAAACATGGACAAATCATTTAATGAATTTGAAATGCAGAGAAAATAGAATTATTATGAACTATCAATGTTGCTGTCAGTTTATAAGGAAGAGAATGCTATGGCAAGAGAGCTTGGTAGGATACTGAAATTATTTTATATTGATGCTGTGGGGTTATTTATTTGCTCTGGAATTGCTATAGCATAAATCAGTTCTGTTTTCAGTTTGAGTTAGTCTGGTGGGCTGAAACTGTCAGGGTTCAAGAGCATGTAACATCATGGTACAAGCAGGGGTGAAACTCACCTATAGGAGAATGGAAGCAAGAGTTGAGGAAGCAGTAAATCCAGCCATCCTGATTTAACTAATCACCAACTTCTATCAGTCCACCCAGGTGCCCACTGGAGGCTTTAAGGGGCTGCTATGAGTGTGAGGTATAAGGTGCATACCTGTCAGCATAAGAGAGAAGTAGACTGAACAGCTAAACAGCCCCTGCATCCTCAGCTGGGCTGGAATGAAGCCAAGCCTCAAGCAAGATAAGCTTTGACATAGTTTTTCAATTGACAAATATACATGCAAATTCGTGTTAATGGAATGTGGTTGATGATCGTTGAGTGAAGTTGCCAAACAAAAAAAGGATCATTGAAGATTGTTATAGTCTTGCCTTTGAAGTCCTTGCCCCTGTATAATCTTTCCCAGGATTCAAACATCAGTGATGTGAACTGTTAAATAAATGAAGGGCATCTGGGACAAATCAAATAAAAGAAATAACTCTGAAGCTCCACAGCTGAAACCTAGAATGATGAAGCAGGAGATAACAGTGCACCTTAGCACTGTCAGGCTCTAGTCATTAGCTAGTGTGTTAGGAGCATGACTTCCCATGTGTGATTGCAATTCAAGTGCTTAGGAGCTCTACAGTAAAATGTAGTGAGAAAATAGGGCTACATGAAATGGGATGTTCAAATGACACACACTACACACTAGAAATTTACAGATGTCCTTCAAAGTACAAAAGAGGTAGCTGAGAAGATAATGAAAAGATACAGCCAGCACTGGAAAAAACTGGCACAGTGCCAAAGTTGAATATAGCAACACATTATCAGCTCAGTGATAATTACACAATTCACAGTTACAATTCTTGGAAATTATTTCACAAGAGAGGCTCCTTTTGATTAAAGCTTCATAAACTCCAGTTCAAGGATTTGTTTTTTCAGCTGGAATGCCATCTGCAATACTTAAAATTAGCAGGTGTGTTACATTTTTACTCATTAAATGACAATTTCTCCTTGTCTAGAAATACCTGCCATAGGATGTGCTCATTGTGTTTCAGTACAGGTGACCACTGAAGCTTTAGGTGTGACTGGGGTTAGAGCTCTGAATGCTGTTTCAGCACATTGCAGATGCTGTGAGACTGAGAGAATGACTGTCTACAGTGAATGTTTGTACACAATGGAATACAACATTTCCTTCTAGGAAAACAAGAAAGAGAAAAGAAAGACCAAACAGAAAATATCATTATGCTATTGTATAAATCCATGGTGCACACCTATCCTGAATAATGATTGTCTAATTTGTCTTAAATGTAGGAATTGCAGATTACTGATGAAAAGAACAGAAAGTAATGGATAAGAGGATTGGGAGATGTGGTGAAAGTCAAAATGGCTGTGACCCACAAGAGTTAAGCAAGTTCATAAAGATGTGCTTGTCTCTGTTAATCACAATATTCAGATTTTAGTCATAACTCAGGATTCAAAATAAATTCAGACCCCCTAAATCACCAGGGCACACCCTCTTCTGCTCTCCATTGGAGTTGATTATTGAGATATATTTTAATTTTTTTAACTTTTTTTCTTTTTTTTGTAATGAAACAGTGGCTTGCGTATTCTATGTTGCAGACCTTGATAAATTGGTATTACTGTACCTCAGTAAAACCATCATGCCTGATGATGTCAGCCAGAAAAGTACCACATAGCAGGAGCTAATGATTCCAAGACTCAAACGGGAAATTTCAGCCAATTAGTAGAATAACCAGATAGCTCATTGCTACCTCAGATAAGGCTGTCTTGTCAGTCTTAGCAGGCAGCCACCGAGATACAAAACCCATATATTCAAATTAGGAGAAAACAAACAGCTGTAACCAAACCTAAATATTCATGTAAATCATACAATAGCTTGGAGTATCTCAGTAACATAAAACTGGTTCAGGCCTGGAAATACTGGAGAAGAGACTCTCAACCACAAAGCTGAAAAACATACGCCAAAAAGCTGGAGCACAAACATGATCGAGACAATTCGGAAATGATTTTGAGAATTTCACCACACACCATTGTGACAAGCAAGAACCCAGATGCCCAAAGCTTATGAGACAACTGGCAATTAGAGACCTGTTTCATTGCTGTGTTATTTTTCTGCAGGGACTGCATGTATAATTGCAAACAAAGGCAGAGGATCAGTCATGCAACACTGATTTCAGGATAAGGTGGGGGTAAACCTGAGCAAGCTGATATCCAGCCCATGTTCAGAGCTTCTCCCAGGCTCAGCCAGTGAGCCAGGACATTCATTGCTGCACAGCATGTCCTCCCAGTGTAAACACTGCTGCAATGGGTGGGGGAAGGTGCTGTGATGTCTGTTCATATTGGCATGAAAGAGCAACCTGTTTTTTCATGAATGTAATAATTACAGGTACCCTTTTAAATTTAGAATACATGTCAGGCAGCCATGTTAGTTCATGCATGAGTACGTCATTAGAATCTTTTGCTCCCTGTACATCATTTTCTGGGTAGATCTCCAGAGCGCTTCTACCAAAGCCTGTTGTTCAGACCAAAATGATTTTGCCAGTTGGGAAAATTAACAGCAATACTTTACTGCAGGCCCTAAAATTTAATCACATAAAACACCTGCTCCTAGAGATATTTAAAAGGATGTTATCATTGATATCTAGGAGTTATATGAGATAAATGCAAATAAATGTAGCTTTTTAATACTGTATTGAGAATTTTGTGGCTAATTTCAAGGCTCAGTCTGCAGACCTTATTAATACTGACAACCTAAATATCAGTATGTGTCATCTGGCAAGTTATCCTATCATCTCTCTTCTTGACTAGATGCTATCTGCATAATAGTAACCTCAGAGAGTGGGTGGTTTTTAGTTTCTTATTAATTTTTAAGACATTGCTGGGGATATTCACTACAAGTATATCCCAGCAAAATACATACTTACACTTTCTGTATTAATCTAAAATAAATAAATAGATTAATCAAATTAATGTGAAAACCGTAGCCATTTTATGCAAAATATTTTTAAATACGCAAACAGGAAAATGCCTCAAGTATTCCATTTGTAAATAGCATACAATGGAGGAATAGAGTGGCACGGGAAAATGACACTGAAAAATGGCAGGATGAAAACTTAAATGAGAAGAAGCCAATATAGGAAAAGCTCATGTAACAAAGGGAGCAGAAGCCTTACACGGGAAAGAATAAAATGCAATACAAATGAACACATCATAAAAATTCTGTCCAACAAACTGAATGCTACAATGAGCTGCAGAACAAATATCTGATTCTGTTGCATACTAAGTGTCTCTTATGTTTCTGCTTTTAGGTCCTTCTAGTTTAATTCTCAGTCGTGATGAATAATGCAATCTCGGGCTGTAACCATCCAACAATTACCAGTTCATTTGATTTTGTCATTCTCCACTTTCTTCCTGATGCTGAAATGTTAGATGAGCAGGTTATACCCTTCCATTCTGCTCCCCAATATGCCTAGAAGTCCTTCTAGTCCCATGCCCTTTTTCTCCCCAAACCATCAACCTGAGATGAAAATGGAAAAACTCTGCAGACATCTCTGCAGAAAAAATTTTGTTCTGAAGATTTCCAGCTATCTCTCTCATCAGGTATTAGGGCCTATGCCTAATTCATCCCATATCTCTTATGTTATTGATTTTTTGTGTGAAGAGGCTAACCATCTTTATTTTTCTTCTCCTGCTGCTGAATACTGGAGTTTGTCATGAGGACAAATATTTTTCCATTGTAATCACTGTGTAAATGAATAGCTCAATTTTTTTCTTACAACTCTGTGAGTAGTGAATAGTAGTGACTATATCAAAAGGGCTATCAATGTCCTGAGATGTTGAACAATTTGACATAATAGGATAACACAAGTAATTTTTCATTCACTGGATGTTTTGGCCTCTCAGATCTCCAGTCACTGTTGACTCAGAAAAGTTCACTGCCTCTACACTTAGGAAAGATTCTTGTCCTCTCACCTTCTTCTGTCTAAGTTGGAGTTGGAGACTGAGTCATGAGTTTTGACACAGACCTTACCTAACAGAATTGCCTCTCTCTAGGAAATTGCTTGGTAAGTGGATGAAGAGGCTACTCTCATAATGAACTGCTTCAGAAGAGATCCTGTATGAGGCATGAGGAGAAATACTGCCCTTTAAGCCCATCTTCAGAGAGCTAAATGAGTTTTCCTCCAAAATGTAATGTAATGTAATGATTTGAATGAGAGAAACATCAAAGGCAATTTAAAAACTTCAAAAACTTTAATTAAAAATTCTATGTAGGTTCCATTCCTGGGGGAGTGCACACTGGGGTCTTCCAAATTGTGTTATAGAAAAAATACAGGTTTAGTTCATCCTATTCCACAGTGGGGATGTTTAGTAAGTGGGTTTTCTGAGATGCTTCTGGGTGAGTTTTCTATATTGACATCTTTAAGAGTGGCAATTTGGAGGGCTCTTCTCCAGAGAGAGAAGTCAGTGCAGATAGAGAGGGAAGGTCTTGTCTCTCTGACAGTTGCTGTGAAGCCAGTGTAATACAGGAAGAAAACTCTGAGAGACTTCACAAAGAAAACATTCCTTCCATCTCCTCCCTCACCAGGGCTTTATTGCTGCTGTTCCAGCTCCTCTCCCTCTGTTTTCTCCAGCTCAAGTGTTACTTGTGTTCTTAGTGGGATGCTTTTCTCACCAATCATCTTTTCTTCACTGATACTTCCTGGACCTGTTTATCCTCATTTCACCCCTCTTCCCTGTAGGAGCACACTTTGGTGAAATTTTCTTCTTGGACTGATTTTTACATGTTTCTCCGCTGAGCTGTTGAGAGCAGAACAGTGTTCCCACTACAGTTCAGCCCTTGGCAATATTGTTCGCCTATTTCAAGAAACCTGAATTTGGTCTTGTGAGAGAACCTTGGTATGGTTCTGTTTCATCCCAGTTCTGTTTTTGGTGCCTCCTTCCAACAGTTTTTTGGCATCCAGTTAGCCTGATGCAGAGCTGCAGAACGCTTTCTCCAATAAAGAATTCTGGTTCTCAATAGTACTGAAGAGACTTTCTCCTTAGTTCAATAGAGAGACTGGTCATAGTTGATCATTTTGCTATATCTCAGCACAATGTAAATTCTGATTTATTTTAGAATCGTGTTCTACTGAGTTAATCTCAGTGCTTCAGCACTGTAGGACATCCAGAAATACTTTGAGAACACAGGAAGTTGCAGACAAATACTTGCAAAGTGCCTTCCTGAAAAAGAATATTGAATTATCCAGTGTTTTACTGACCTTTTCATTTTTACTAGATTGGGCAGTTATTTTTGGTGTTCATTGGGGAGGGAAATTAATGATGGAGTCAAAGATGTTTGTGTTTTTAATTGTGCACAAAGATTGTATTGTCTAAAGATTATTCCTTTATAGAATTAGCTTAATTTAACAGTCTTTTTCTTTTGTGGAGCATTGATTCCCTGCGATTTTCTAATTGGCATTTTCAAACTTAAGTTCTGGAAAGGGCCACAGGGTGGCAGAGCGATTAAACACTGGCAGCAGCTCTTTCTGCGGACACGGGCAGGAGCCAGGCGAGCCAGCGGAGCTGCTGCGGTGACTGATGGTGGATGAGCGATGCCATCGTTTGTAGCGCTGCCCATGTCCCGGTGTGCGGTGTACGGTGGCACATTGTCATTGTGCTGTGCTGCTGCCTGTGCCCCAGCCAGCTCTGGGAGCCAGAGGAGCGGCTTCCTCAGGCACGGCACGGCTCTGTGTGCCCCACAGCCTCAGCTAATGAGCTACAGGGTGGGATGCGGTGGAGGACAGTGCTGAAGCCTCATCAGCCTGTCAGGAGCCCTGTGATTCTGCGCTCATAGACGCAGCTGTTTGGACTCTGCCAAACTCTGCCTCTGTTCCTGCCACCAGAACCGCAGAGAATCCCCAGGGACGTGCACACTGCACGCTTGCACCCTCCGCTGCCCCAAGCCCTGGCTGTGATGCTCCAAAGGCAGAGTCCAAAGGCAGAACGTGCTCGATCGTGGGCAGTGTGGAAAGAGAAACAGCCAACAGAAACTTGCGCTGAGAAGCAGAAATAGATAGCAAAGGATACTAAAGTGTCTTAGACTGAATCTCTACTCTTAGGTGTTGTCTCCCAGTGAACAAGAAAACCAACCCATGCCTGAGTGTTCAGGGCTGATCACAGCTCAGTGTCAAACCGCCAGTTCAAGCCACAGTGCTTCAAGCAAACATTTTGAATCTTGCAACCAGACACCAGAGTGCATGAACTCAGATGTGGCTGGGGCATGGCTTAAGAAGCCGGCTTTTACCGCGGAGCTAGAAGGTGTTGTCTTCACACTTGAGAAGTGGTTTAGAAAGCAGTTCCTTTTCAGCTCTTAGTCACACTTCCCAGCTGACTCACCATGCATAGGCTGGATACTACACACGTCTAGGACTATGACCTGGACTGAACATATGATATAGACCAAACTCTAGTTGTACAAGTTCATAATTGCCGTTGGTTAAAATGCACAATAAAATAAAGAGAAAACAAACAAAAAGAACTATGGGGAATACATATGAACTTCTTCAAAGATAAACCTGAGGTTTCCAACAGGTTTACAGGTGTTTTTTTTTTTTTACTTGTAAATGTTTTTGTGAGACTCAAAATTTGAAATCACGGGAAAACAAATTAATATATGAAATAGGAGGAATTAGAAAATATTTCAGATATAATAAAGTAGGGGGAAACATGCCTTGGGTAGTGCAAAATACTGGCTTAACAGAGCATACTGTCAACTGGAATTATTTGGGTTACTGGTCTGATGCGAATTTCTAATCTTTTATCTTATTGAAGCTGCTTGTTTCTATAAAATATTTGCCTGCTCACAAGAGCAAGCACTAAAGCAGGTATCCATCTCTTGGTCATGCCTTAGCTGTTAGTCTGCACAGAAATCTCACTACCTCTGTCTGGCCTAGTGAGTGTTTGAATATTTAATGCAAAATGGAAAAACTGTGTAGAGACAGGCTTAGAAAACCCCTTCCAGATTGTTTCTGTTCATCTTAGAATCAAAATGCCTTTTTCTCTGCACTTCAGCTCACTATTGTAACAACTTCCAGGTCAGTAACACATGAAATATAAGAATATAAACAGATATGGTTCTCACTCTAGTACTGAAAAGTTGGACAGACTGTGAAAAATTCCTTCTGTTATCTCACCATGGAAGCTTTTGCAGGAACTTGGATGCAATAATAGAAAAAGAGAAGTTTAAAATATATCCTTGGCTTTTTGGGGGGTTGTGTTTGTTTTTTTTTCCTTTTTTTTTTTGTTGAAAACTTAGTAACTTTTCCTGTGGTTTATCACAAGACTAAAATTAGCTTGTCCAGATGCATTCTTTGAATCACACAGGCACTGATCCTTATGAGCAGTTCCTAGCAGACAACTTAAATGGTTCAAACTAGAGCAGCAATGAATGTAATCTTGCACTTCCATGTATGGGAAACACTATTGTACACAGCCTGAAAAGAGGAGGGGAGATTGGACAATACCTGGTAGTTCCTATGGTGCCCCTTCCCAGGCCTCTAGTGCTAAGGAAGTCAACCAGTTGAAACACAAAGACAAGTGAGCTCTCTGCAAATAAGCTTGGGAATAAAGGAAAAAACCTTCACACTAATTTTCCATGAGTGTTGCAAGAGCTACTTAGATAAAAAGTAAACTTAAAAGCCAAAAACCATTTTGTACTTGTCTTTCTCAGCAAAGAGAGTGGGCAAGTATTTTAAAATTTGATGTTTACATAATGCTGTCTCTTATACAAATGATGTTAGGGAAAAAAACCCCACAACCATCCAACAGCTTACCTGCCTGTTGTCCCTGAAATGCTTCATCATCTTTTGCATCTGTGTCATTTTCCTGTTTAAAAAGCTGCTCTAGTCATCCCAGCAAGGGAAAGCCAAACAACTTTATATGGGACCCAAGAATAATGCTGTAGGAGAAATGAGAAGTATAGACATGAATACTTGCAATTCTTTCATTAAGATGTCTTGTGTTAAAATAAGCTTGCAGAAAATTGACTAGTGAGACTAAATAATTCATTTATCAAATATCAGATTAATTTATTGAGTCAAAATATAGGCCACAGATACCACAGTCTTCAAAGCAGTGAAAGCAATATTCGTATTTCATTATGTAAACATCTAGTGTTTCACCACTTGGGCATTTACTAAATGAGATAAGAAAGTTTATACAACTTACTAACATGTTTTCTAAACCCAGTACTCTAATACAATGTGCCTATTCATGCATTAGGTTCCACAGAGCGTTGTGACCTTGGTGGTTCAAGTGTACAGCCTTATAACCCACGGCATGCCAGACAGCCTCTAATGTCATCAAAAGACACTTGAGCTACCCCTCACACCTGTGATATCAACCCTCTAGCAGACCTGTGCAGCTTTTGTTACTCTCTTGATGTTGTGGGGAATGAGTTTTGAAGTGTCCCAGGGCTCCATCTCAAAGATCTGTCATGCTTTTGGCTGAGGAATCCCTTACTGGTAGTTAGCTACCTTCATCTCACTTAACTTCAGCCATGCTAAAGTAAAACTCAGATATTCATATCTAAAATAGGCACCAAATTCTAAAATTTATCCTACATCTGAAAAAAAAAAAAAAAAAAAAATTAATCTACTTACCAGAGGTTGTCTCAGAGGGATGTCTCTCTCTCTCTCTCTCTCTTGCTGGTAGGATTTCCGACTCTGCACATGCTGTCCCACCTCTTAGAGGAATGTTTTAATCTTCATGACCTCTCCCTTGGTCAGCCTAATTTTTTGTAAGACCTTATGTTATATAGCAGTCTGTAGATTAAAAACAAGTTGCAAAGATCCTATCAGGTTATTTTGTGTAGCTGGCTCTTGGCTGCAACGTGACCCTTCAAGGTTATGTCATTACCCTTTTTTGGGTGATGGCAGGCTTGGAATGACTGATAGCCAATTCCCTCCTCTCAGGAAACTGTAACTGTAAGAAATTTCAGTGTGAACATGCAGAACAAATTACAAAGGGGATATCAGTGTGCAAAGGCCAACACGAAATTCTATAATCATTAAATACAGTACAGGAATTTGCACTGGCCTGCATTTTGCAAGTTGCGAAACTGTATAGGGAAAGATACGGATTTCAGGCTTAAGTTCCACAAGCACCCTGTCACGATACCTTGTCACTGCTAAAAGACAGTTTATTCTCCCTCTTCCTCCTCTTTTGTTCCTGTTTCAAGCTGCCAAGGCTCACTCTATCTTGGTGTCAGCTCTGGCACTCATTGCACCCTGCAGTCATCTGCATAGCTCTGCTCACTAGCTCATAAGAAAGTCCTCCACTTTCTGTTACTCTTCTGCCCTTTTAATGAATTGAATTGCAACAAGCAGAGCTACTAAAATTGGGGAAATTACCATAAGACACATTGTAGATTGTCCTGCCAGAGCCTGGAACAGTGTATCTCCTTTTAGCAGCAGTGAACGGATGAAATCAGCCAAACCCAGGTGATAGCGCCAAGGATTTACCCAGAAATGGTCTGCAATGTACATTCTCTTGAAAATGTCTTTTCTTCAGTCATGTGATAAAGTGCTTGATAAAAATTGCTGTGTACATTCTTTGTCTTAAAAATAAGGTCAGATGAGATGGTTGTTTCAATTCCCCTTTTGTTTCCAGCTCTGTGAATCTGTACTTTGTATGTTTGCAGTATGAGTGGAATTAGAGGCTGTTTGCAAGTATTCAGATTAAATGTGTGTCTTCCAAATTTACAGAAAGTAATCTCAAGCTGTAGTGTTTACAGTCCTAAGGTGTCCCTGTCTCTAGCACAAATGAAACAAAGGCAGATTGTGTTTTTCTCCCTTTGCCATTCATGAACCTCTAGTGCTCTTTGAGACCCACAAAGGTGCTCATTAAAAGGACCAAAGGCCGATCTAGTCCTATGTTCATCTCAGTGGCTATAAACAGATGTGTAGGGAGCAGCAGGGAAAAGCACATATGAAATGTCACACAAGAGTTTGCCTTGTGAGACCATTATTTTTAGAACAGAGAATTTCCTGATCTGGATGTGGATGCTGTCTGCTTAGTAACCCTATGTAGATTTCTTTTTCAAGTATTTTCCCCCTTGGTTCCAAGTCCATTCTTTTACATCCAGAGACACCTTTGGTAATAAATGCCACAATTCTACTATGGGTGATGCAAACAACACCTTCTTTCCTTCCCATTGTCTGCACTCTCGTTACTATCAGGTTCACTTCATTCCTTCTTAGTTTTTCTTACGGTTCTATAACTTTGGTTCTGAATCGACGACAGTGTTGCAAGTACTATAATAGATATAATTTCCATGCACACAGAGTATGTGCAGACAGATATAAAGGCAATGGGTAGGCAATCAAGGTATTGCATGTGTTTGCAAATGAAAGCCATGGTTGGATCACTGCAGAAGATGCCTCCTCCTGGACTTTTTTTAAAGAAAAGAACGATTTTTTCCCCCCATCAAAAATGTTGACAGTGTTCGTGACCTTGCAATTTATTTCCCGTTGCCAAGACAAAATGTTCCTCTGCCCTCAAGAATTCTGCATCCTCTGTCGCCTGGAGACAAAGAGTTGACGTGAGCAGGGGACCAGGGTTTGAAAATAACCCCTGGGTGGCAGATAAGCGGAAATGTGGACAGCAGGAGGGCACTAACAGTTTTTGAGGGTGAAACCCCAGATCACCAGCTCCCTTTCTACCGCCCGCCCCGCGCTGCATCTCCAAGGATCAGCGCCAAGGCGCAGCCCGCACTACCTGAGCAGGCAGCAGTCGCATCTCGGCCCGCGCAGTCGGATCGGCTTCTCCCGAGCTCAGTGCTCCTCCGAGCAGCCCGTCCTCCCGGCAGCCCCGCGCTGAAGGGAGGACGCGGGACTTTGCACCCGCGGGAAGGAGCCTCGGGCGGGGAGCGCTGCGCTCCTCCGTGCGCCGCCGCCTCTGCCTGCCGGGCCGGGGCTGCCGGGGAGGGCAGCGGCAGGAGCCGCTTGGATCGCAGCCCCCGGCGGGGAGCCGGCCCCTTCCCGCGGGGGCAGCGCCGACCCTGCCGTGTGACAGCCGGGGGGGGCCGCTGCTGCCTCGGCGAGCCCGGCTGCGGCGCGGCGGCTGCAGCCATGTGTTTCTCCGCCTGCCAGTGACACAATAACACGGGAAGCGGCGGGAGGGATCCGAGCCTGCCGAGGGGAGAAGTGACCTGAGGCGCTCAGGTGAGCCGGAGCGGCAGGAGGTGGCTGTCGCTGCCCGCCACCGCCGCGAAGAGCTCCGGGGTCGGGCGGGAGCTCCGGAGCTGCCGGCGGGGCCAGCGCGGCCGGGGGGCGGCGAGTCCCGGTCCCCCCTCACCCGGCGGTGCTGTGCCCGCAGGCCGGCGGCGATGGAGGAGGGCATGAGCAGCATGCAGCAGAAAGCGGCGGAGCTGGAGCACATGGCCGAAGTCCTGATCACCGGCGAGCAGCTCCGGTAAGCAGTGCCTTCCTCCCGCTTTGCCGGGGACGCATAGCCGGGGTCAGCAGCAGCCCCGCTGACGGCGAGAGGGGGAGGTTTGGGGGGCGGAGGGCAAGGGTCTGTCCCCGAGGACTTTCCTTGCACCGGAGCACCTGCCCTGCTTTCATCGCGGCCCCGGGCTCCGGCCCCGCTTTCGGCAGCGACTGGGGACGAGGGGCCGCAGCCCGGGGAGGTGAAGCGCGGCACGGGGGGCTCCTGCCGCGGGCACCGCTGCTCCCCGATCGGAACAGGAGGCGGTGGGGAGAGCCTGCTGCGTCACTAAAGGCATCAAACGCTGCAGGAGACTGGCGTATTTAAAGATGAAAAACCCCCAAGAAACCGTACGAGATAAAGTGTCTCGGCACCTCGTGGGGAGCCAAGGCGAGCGCAGGGCAGCGTTCCCGCACAGCCCGGCCGGCACTGGCAGCGGCGCCGGGCACTGACCCCCGGAGCGCAGAGCTGCGCCTCACTCCGAAGGATTGTTTTTATTTTGCATCAGCTGGTCCCAGCAGATGGAAGGGGATCCCTACTGTCAGTGCCAGCAGCAATTAACAGTGCTGTGTGACTGGAGTTGTGAGCAGCACAGGAGCCTTGAAAAAAAAAGCCTGACTCAGTTAATTTTTAATTTCTGTGGTGTATGCTATGTGTGCCGGCTGTACCTATACAGTACAGAGGAGAAAAAAAAGTAATTTTAGTAGTTTCGGTTTGGTGATGAATCATCTTGTGATTCAGGAAGAAAAATCCCATTATAATGTGTTATAAGAGTAACTAGAAGGGGATGGTAAAAATATTTTCCCAGTAGTTTTCTTGAATTTTTAAAAACTTTTTTCTCAGATGCCAGACAAACATTGAAAAGTGACAGAAATGTTCCCTAGTTTGGCAGATGCCATCATGCCATCATTGCTGCTAGTACAGACACTGTTACTGTTTGCATCCACGAAATAAGAAGTGTCACTTTGTGATGCACACCAGTGATACTGCTGTTTGGCAAGTAAATGTTATTTTGGTGATCTGGCTCCAGGACACACCAGTGCCGCCTCCAGGCTTGAGATTCTGCTTCAAAGGAGCCTGAAGTGACACTTAGGGCAACAGAGTGGACTGGCACGGGTCCTGCATGGCGGATTTGGTGCAGAGTTGAGCATCTAAGTGTCAGATAAGAATCCTGTTCCTAATTTATGTTACTAGAAGTTGAAGATTTCAGTCTAATACAAAATTTCTCTAAGGATCACATTAATCTTTCTGTATACCTCATAGTTAAATGTAAAAGAAAAAGCTTTGCAATCTTTCCCTAAGGAGAAATTGAGGAAATGTTATCAAATCAGGCTCCTAGAATCAGCTTATCGGTGTTACTATCAAGAATTACATTTGTCATTATGTTTCTTAAGGTATTGAAACACAGCGGTCTTTTTGATCTGCATATACAAAATAATTATTGCCCATCCTGTGAAGTTATCTGTGGACTTTCCTTCATGAATCTATAAGGAGTGGCTTGCATCTGCTTGGACTGGGAGTTTATGAACAAGTCAGTGTGCATAACGTCTGGCTACTGCTGGACAGGGAGATCCACTCTTCTTCTGGCCCTAGCAATGTAGTCCCACCTCCTCTTTGTGCCTGCTCATGTAACTTCTTGGACTTCTTGAAAACAGATCCAGTGTGGTGATTTGGTGGGTAGGTTAATTTTCTGATCTGCTGACTTCCAGAAGCCACAGAATATAGGTGTTGGGAATGTGGAGCTGGGAGGAAGAAGTGAATGTGGTGGAAAAGACAGAAAATTTCCATTTGGATAGCAGTGAGCTGTTGGGTCATCTAGAACTGTATTGTGAAACTGTACCCAAAATTGTCTACTTCCCCCCAATTTTTTCTTAATTTCATTTTGTTTCTCTATTGGGATACTCTGCAAAGGATTTGCATTCTTCAGTTTTTCAGGCAGTAAAAGCCACAAATAAGTGATAGAAAACTGGTGGGCAGACAAGTTTTAGCCAACCCTGCATTTAAAGTTTCCTTTTTCCTGTCCAAGATAAGCATATAATTGTTAATGTGAAATGAAAATGGGATGATGGGAAATGGGAAAATGATCTTTGGGATCAAAGACAGTTTCTATCAGCAGCCTTTGGGTCAGGCAAACAGATGATAGAAAACCAGCACACACATGCACTCAAGGCAACATACTATACGCTATTCTTAGATGCTTACAACTGCAAGATTCCCCAGTGGGATTGATGCAGCCAGACAGGTGATTATGTGTATTTGGGTGAAAGTGCATGCAAGATGAGCACATAACTTAGGAGTAAAAGTGTAAAATGAAACTGTGAGCATGGTGTTACTTACACAAACCCAACTAAATTGAGGTATTTAAAGCACTCTTGTACTAGACCAAACAGCACGTGTGTCTAAACTCAAATACTTATCAGAGCTGCTTGATTTAAATACCTTGCAAAGTTCCTAGTTCCTGCTTCTGTCCGGCCTCACATATTGCCTCACAGCTCTCATTCGCATGGGCTGTTGCATTTCTGTCCTTCCCTGGCAGGGATCTGATGCAGTGAGGGTTAAAGTTGTCTGAGCAGCACCCTGGCAAGCCTGGCTTTACACACTGGCAGTGTCTGTGGTGGGAATGGAAGCCTTGTGCCCTCTTCCACTCCCTAGACAAGTGCACAGTGAGTGGGGGAGGGAAAGGAATAGGACAAAGAGTTTTCTCCTTCTCCTTGTTCCTGTCTCTTGGTTGCTTGTGATGTGTATTTTGTCTTTGCAAGGTCAGGAGCCTCTGTCCTGATGTGTGTAATGTCAGATGGCACCCAGGAACCTGGCTGCTGGCACAGGCTGTGATGCAAATACTGGCCCATGGGTGGGTTCATTTACGGAAAAATAAATGAGATCTTGAGCTAAATGTTAGATAACATGGTAAGTTTTTATATCCAGTACTATCCTTTGCCTTTGCCCAGTAGCTGTCTGAGCAAATGCCCAACTCTTACTTTTGGTTAAAAAAAGTGAAGACTTAGAAGCTTACTGTGAAGAAGCTTAGAAGCTTTCACTGTGTTTGAAAGTGTGTTAAGACTCTGGCGTAAGCTTAAAGTGAAGCTAAAGTGAAGACTTAGAAGTTGGGCTGTTGGCGAGCCTTTAAATTATTAAGATGACAGCTGTGAAAGAAAGCTGAAGATTTCAGCAGTGTGACACCACAACAGACCCTTTGGCAGCTTCTGTTGCCGTGCAAGAGGTTAGCAAGGGCAAGGTGGAAGCTGGAATGGGCACGATCTGGCTGTAATCTTTGGCACTGGTGGTCCTGCAGGGACACACTGTGACGCTCTGGCTGCCTGACAGCTCCAGCCACCCAAAATCTCAGCTCTTCCCTTTGTTCTGCTGCAGAGACCCTGTAGCTGTTCAGTGGTGAGGGGTCTCTCCTGAGGAGGTTGCAACAGCACTGCCCTTAAAATGTTTGAGAGGATCAGGGACCTCCAGATTCCTCAGGACTGGAGAGTCCTTTGAAGCCTCCACCCTGCTGCATCCCTCCCTGCAAATCCATGCCTGGTACAGCCCTGAGGGAATGAATGTCCCTGAGCTTCCTCGGCCTTGCTGGCAGTGCCTGAAGGAAGGTGTCTCATCCATAGTCGTTGTTGGAAGCTTAATAACGACACTACCGAAGTTGTTACGAATTTTATCAGAGGCAGAACAATTCCAAGCTCATTCCCCTCATGACTGAAGGCAACAGGTTGTGCCCATTTCAGCACTGTTTGGCAGAAAGATTAAAGTATTATGTCTGGGTTTGAGCACTGACTTGGATAGAGCTGATCTTGCCCTCTGGTGACCAAAAGCATTTTCAATGGGCATGTTTTGATACAGATGCCTATCTTACAAGGTAGGGGTGGTCTGAAATCGCCTCATCTGCTAATTGCTTCATGATGCCAGATTGTCACTAAAATCTTGTATATCTCCCAAGACTCCCTCATTTTTTGCAGAAAATGTGTCTAGTAATTCAGGAGTCCTCAGGCTTCAATCGACCAAGCAGCAATATTTAAACATCTGTTTATTGTCGTTGTATATGGTGTGCAGTTCTCTGTAGTAGGTGTAGCTTGAATGACTTTTAATATCTCTGCAGATTTTTAGATCCCTCTTTATCACCAGCTTTCACAACAAGCTACATCGTTCCCTATTCACACTTCTGTTAAATAGTTGGGTAAATAAATGTTTTATTTATACACACTTCTCTATATGAGGCAGTGATTTTGGTAGAATAGTTTTTATAATCAGCATCACCTTTCTGTCTCCTTAGAGAAATATGAAGCATATTTCTTAGAGATTTTTCTTTCTTTTGGAAGAGACAAAAGATTCAAAACAGAAATTTATTTCCATTTTTGTCAGAGTTGGTGTATAAGTTTTGTTTTACCTTTGTTTTAAAGGTTTTACATGGTAAATAGCTACACATTTTGAAGCTGTAAGACAAAACCTGTTCACTTGTTTTCCAAAGGTTTCACTTCAGGAACCTTGTCACTTTCAGAAGCCATATTAGAGTGCATAACTTTCAGAGTCATTAACTTGTGAAGGATGGCAGCAGCTACAGATCCATAACTTTTTTCTTATTCTAAGCAATAAACAGTCACCATTTTTTCATGGTGATAGGATTGAAAAGTTCATTAGCACTCTTAAGGTGCAGAAAGCCCATGGCACATAACAGTAACAGTTTCTAGAGCAATGATATCAAAAGACCCTCTGTGTTAATGTACTGCTATGATACAGGATTATATAAACTGTATAGTTGCAGAATTTATTAAATGCTATCACTGTGTTTGAAAGTGTGTTAAGACTCTGGCGTAAGCTTAGATTCTAAAAGGATTTGAGATACATGATTGTCTAGAACTTATGTTACGTTATGTCACTTACGTGACTTATTCTCAAGTCACATCCCTAGATGTTAAACAATCATCTATGCCATTTGAAGAATTGACAGAATTTCTTAAAATGAGATTTTGTGATCTGCCCAAGAC